CGCTAATGATGGTAAGTGTGTTCCATGCATATAGAGTATAGGAGATAGTTCATGTTTTAGCTTTTCAGCGATCACACGAGTGCAGATTGTACGTGTGCAGGTTTAGCGCAGCTCTTTATTTTACAGTCATTTCACTCGTTTGGTCACTTTTTTTTATGTTGGTCAATTTATTTATGTGACTATTGTTGTGGTGAAAGGCTGAAAGTGTCTTTTGGACGTGTACAAAAGGCCCTATGAGTTCTAAATTCTTGTTAGTTAAGTTTTCTTGTTTATTGTAATCTGTGGAGGGTCCACTAGAGGGCGCTCTGACCTCCTATATTGTCTAAATTGTGACTGGGGAAAACGTGCTTCCTGTGAAATGGAGTTTACTTTAAATGAGCAGATTGGTTTTTTTTGGAAGTGAGCGTTTATGACTGCAAAACCACACACCCATATGCATACTACTCATGTTCAACCCCATCAATGTGTACCTCCTTATGTCAATACAAGAGCCTGAACGCCACCATTTGTGTCCTCATTTCCTCCTCCTACTGAATATTCATCTGGGCCTTAAGAGGTGTTCTGGCCGACACCCCAGAGCAGTGACAGCTTTACACCCGAACCAGTGACTACAGTCCACTCTAGTTGAAGTTCCTACCCAACAGGACGCATGCGCACTCAACTTTATGTTGCAGTAAGCGGGGTACTGCGTATACATGCCACAAGTAACCCGGTTATTATCGGAATAAACCAGCTACAGTAACCCGGTTTCTAATAACCGGGATACTGCCATAACCGGGATACTGAAACCGGGTTACTGCGTATACATGCACCATCAAGAAACCGGGATACTCAAAAAACCCGATCATAACCGGGTTACTGATGTGCATGTATACGCACTCAGTGTTTTTCACCCTGTTGTCATTCCAAGGTACAAAATATTGGGTGAATCAGCATGGTCAACACATAATTCAGCATGATCAACACATGATATTTCCCACACATTATTCTTAATTCAGTACAATTTGTGGCTATTTTACCCCATTTTCATGGACATCAGTGACAGCAACATTTACTGTCACAGGTAACTTAGTTAGCTTATTACCACTCAATACTACTACTAGCATTAGACCAAATATATTTAATATTTTTATGAATTAAATTCACTTCAGAGTGTCCTTAAAAGGTAAAGTAATCTGACCCGGGGCATGTGAGAGCTCAGGTGGTTGGACTAGAGGCTCGATGAGTTCAGTTCTGCTGAAAACAAACGCTATGAGTTGTTAGCTTTGCGCTGTTAACTCTTATCTTAGCTTAGCTTCGGACGGTAAAATGTGGCTTCTCTCTCGCAGCTCTCCCGCTGGAAACGTCACAAAAGCCCAACTCTGATATAGTGTAATATTCAAAATAGACACTTTCTAAGTGTTTGGCGTTAACTCTGTGAATCAACAACTACTAGGGTGACCATATTTCCGTCTGTGAAAACCCGGACACCTTTTGAGGGAAATTTTGCAATTTTTTACACCGTATGAACGCGTATTGTGTATTACAGGCGGATAGTAATTACACATGGGTGGGTCAGGACTAAACCAGGTCTAAACCAGGACTAATCTTGGACTTACGAGAGAAAACGCCGAGCAGTTTGTCCGCAAAGCGCGATCAGGCAATTCCCGCGTTTACCTCCGTGAGGTGCGGAGCTGAGCCGGTCCTTTCTCCTGTGGTCACCTCCAAGCCCGTCTTGACGGTGAGTCCTGTTTCAGTTCTGGTTTAGTCCTGTTTTAGTCCTATTTGAGTCGTGGATTAGTCCTCCTCTTCAGTCCTGGAATCAGTCCTGGGTTAGTCCTGGTTTAGTCTTGGTTCAGTCCGTGGCGTAGGCAGCGCAAAAGTTTGATATAATCTCAGGTTAACGGGCAGGTGCGGTCCTGTACTGCGCGGTTGCGTTGTTGTACAGGGGGTCTCCAAAAATGGACCCGTGCGGGACTCTGCGCTGTTGGGCTCCATTATGGAATAAATGAATCTTCAGTTTGTTACATAAAGTAGGAAAATAACACAAGGACGACAGCAGCAACAAGAAGGAAGTAAAAAGGGTTGCACCTGTCCTGTCTGAGAAAAGTGCATAAAGTTTGTGCTGAGGGGTTTTACAGCCTTAACACAGATAGAATAATTGTAAAATATAAAGTTGACTACTTCGCGGATTTCACCTATGGCGGGTTATTTTTAGAACGTAACCCCGCGATAAACGAGGGACCACTGTACTCTCACTTCACAACCTGTGCACATGGCCTCCCACTTGTCCCGACCGGGACGGAAAACGGAGAATTTCTTGTACAAGTCATTGTTAATCCGTGTATCATTTGTTCATTCGTTTTTCAATATAAAACCAAAATGAAAAAACGGATAATGATTCGTTTTTCGTTTACGTGTTTTTGTGTTTAAATGAAGAATGGAAAAAACGGATAACGGCCGTTTCCCGTTTGTGACTTCCGTGACTGCGATGCCGAACTTTTGCACCGCGTACGGAGTGAACCAGGACTGATCCAGGTCCGAGACCAGAGCGGGACCAGAGCGGAACTGAGACCGAGACCAGCGGTCCGAGCGGTTCCGTGTCATCGTCTCCGCGCTGGTTCCGTGCGGGGAAAGTGAGAATTCGCTGTGGACTACAGGTCCGGACGGGCTGCTCCAGAACCGCGGCTGGTTCCGAGGTGGTGCAAAGCATCCAACTGACGCTTTCACACCAACGAAAACGAACCGAACTAAGAGCTTTTGGTTCAAATGGACCAGGTCCGGGATCAGACCGGGACCAGAGCGCTACTGAGACTGGGACCAGACCGGGACCAGAGCGGGCCTGAGACAGAGACAAGATCGAGACAAGACCGAGACCAGATCGGAGGCTCAGAGCCCACGGCAGGGCCGGAGCTTGAAGCTGAGGCTTGGACCCCGCGGAGGCTCAGAGTCAAAGCTTGGAGTCCGCCCCAGTCCTGCTCTGGTCCTGCTCTGGTCCTGCTCTGGTCCTGGTCTGGTCCCGCTCTGGTCCCGCTCTGGTCCCGGTCTGGTCTCGGACCTGGATCAGTCCTAGTTCAGTCCGTACCCGGTGCAAAAGTTCGGCATCGCAGTCACGGAAGTCATGTAAACGGGAACGTTATCCGTTTTTTCCATTCTTCATTTAAACACAAAATCGAAAACTGAAAAAAACGAATCGTTATCCGTTTTTTCATTTTGGTTTTGGAGACAAATAGCGAAGAAAACTGTTGTTTTTTCGTTTTCTTATTTTTGGTTTTATATTGAAAAACGAATGAACGAATGATACACGGATTTTTGTTAAATGCGCATTTGTGCTTCGGTATGTTGCAGACTGACCGACTGTTTGTGTCTCGCTCCTTCTGAGTCACAGACGCTACGAGAGACGCTCAGTTTAATGCCCCCAATGAACGGTACTGAAAACCCGGACATTTGCATCACTTTATAAAAAAAAAAAAACGGACACCACGGACATGAGGCAAAATATGGACATGTCCAGGGAAAAACGGACGTTTGGTCACCGTAACAACTACTCATTTATAGCAACATTGTGACTCAACAATTACTTATTTTACTGTACAGCACTGTCATAGTTAAAATAACCCTTTACTATGTTGAAACATACCTGGATTTTCTTCACTTTACTCACAACACCAACACCGTGAATTTAACACTTTTGACTTTGCTGTGTCGAGAAATAGAAGATGCAACGAGCTACAAATTTACTTTATCTTGTCATAATTTAATTAGTCCCTTTACTGTAATTGTATATACTTATACTTATAAGTACACTAAATGTAACTTTTCTTGTGGAAGTATGCAGTTTTGGAAAGTAATGTGTAAGAGTAAGTAAGAGTGCATGTACACAAAATACTTATTCTGAATACAAACTTTGAGTAACTGTTTCCCAGCGCAGTCACTCTTTCATTTATATTCAGAATAGTTTCTTTCCAAAATTAAAAGGAATGCATGACGGTCCTTCATCAAGTGGTTTTGAACTGCAAAGGATCAGTAAGAAAAAAAACAAACACAGCTCATGTGGTGAGTACATATGCGATTTTTCTCTCTAATGTGACATAAATTGATGTGTAACGAACAAAAAACTAACAAACAAAACTAAAATAAAGCTGTTTGTAATTTTACGACAATTTTTTACACTATAATTTAAATGCAACTCAGTGCAAAAGCATTCTAAGTATTCAGAATACAGTACTCTGATTAGGCCATGTATCAGAATATGCTACAAAACACATTTTTAATCGGGTATTCAGTGTACTAACTAATATATTTACAAAGTTCTTCCCATCACTGCAAGTATATCACTATCTCCACAAAAGCAGATGAAGTATAGTTCAGATCTGTGCATTCAGAAAGTTTTTTTTTTTTTTTTTTCCTCCTTTCGATAATGTAGACTAGCCTATTCCAAACAAAGCAATAGCCCAGGTTAATATATGAATTAATGTTTCCAAAGCCTGCTATAGTCTAACACAAAGTCATCCTTCTATCTAGGCCTATTTTTATATTTTCATAATTACGGGCAGCAAAATAATATAGTTATTGAAGTAAACCAGGCCACGATTAGTCCGTGACACGCGTGTGAAGCGTGAGTGTAATTCGCTGTAATTGGTCAAACACGGTTCACGCTGAGAAAAAGCTGAGCTGCGTTTGACGTTTCCAATGGGCGGAACTTACGTTTTGATTGGCAGCACGTTGGACCAATCGGAGCAGGGGTCTGACACGCACGTAGCTACAATTGGCTTAGATTTAATACTGAGCATATGCTAAAGGTTTGAGCGAAGATAGCTGCACGTTGGAGCCGATTTATGCAATGGAAAGCGATATTTAAACCAGGGGTGTGTTGGGTATGAGTATCCCGGTGATGCGGGGGGACGTGGGTGCGCCTGGGCCCGGTCCATTAGCTCCGAGTTAGCCGCATTTCAGTCTGCAGGAGCCCGCCCGTGTCAGGTGTCTGTAATGCGCCAGCTCGCCTCTGATGGATCGCCTCCATGGATGCCTGCAAACCCGCTACTACGGACAATAACAATATTTTGAGTCCCAATCCTGGAGAGGGCGAGGGGGATGTATTCGAGCCGGATCCGGGACTCGAGGCGGCGGGAAACGCGTTGTGGACCGCGGTGTTTGACTATGAAGCCACTGCGGAGGACGAGCTCAGCCTGCGGAGGGGAGACGTGGTGGAGGTGCTGTCCAAGGACTCGCTGGTGTCCGGGGACGAGGGCTGGTGGACCGGGATGATCGCGGACCGTGTGGGCATTTTCCCCTCTAACTACGTGAGCGAAGGGAAATGCATGCACGAGGAGGACGCACGGGAGAAGTCCGAGCAGATATCTGTGCCTTGTCTGCACCGTGAGTCTTTCCCATTGTAGACACTGCAGCCAATGAAAGCAGGGGCGTAACCGGGGCCGTGGTACTGACTCAGGGGCCCAAAACAAGTATCAGAATGTAAGAGGATCTTATATGATTCATAGGCCTATTCACAGCTTATAGGCAAACATTAATCATGCAATAACAGAATCGAGGTTAATGGATTTTATATGTGAACGTGTGTTTAGTGTCTTGCTTGATGGCACACAGGTGAGATGCTAAAACTGTTTCGTTGCATTGTGCTTGTACAAGTGCAATGACAATAACGTTGAATCTGAATCTAATCAACATGAAAACTCAGAAAATCTTGTAATATATAACCTATCGTCTATTCTATGTGTATAAAGCTGAAAATTGCACTTCTTTTATTAAGCTTTATTAATATTATTCACCCTGGGATTTGATTTTGACAATAAAATGAAGCATTTTTCCAAAACTAGTAATTAACTAGATTAATAAAATCTGAATGAGCAGTGTCTTAAGACAAAACAGTAAGAATGGGACTAAGCGTAACTGAGCTTTCTTTCATTACAGTAAAACTGCAGATCACTTCAAAATGCACCAAATTAAAAATCCCCTTTCCAACATTTATTACATGTAGTGAGTGCTTTATCAAAAATTACACTTGAGAAACAACACAAGAACACCACAGGCTAAAATTACAGTACAAACAGTCTGTCTAAATGGCAGCAAGTAGAAAGAACATTTAAACTTCTCCTGCTCCTCTTTGCACTCTGCTCCTCTGTGTTGACCTAAAGCCTCAGTGCTCGGCCTCTGGTGAATTGGCAGCGACAGCAGGTTGAGAGTGCTGTGTCACGGTTCTACCCTGAAGCTTGTCCACATAATTCTCTCTTTGTCCCTCTCTCTCTTTCTCTTTCTCCATTCTTCATCCCTCTGTCTGTCTGAGCTCAAGTCAGGGATGCTCCAGTGTCAGGTTACACACTGTCTTTGCAAAACCAGCCTATAAAAGACACAGTATAGTTTGGACAGTGGTGAAAGGTTGTAATGTATTGTATTCCAGGATTTGTTGGTTCTGTTTAAAGTGCCCATATTATGCTATTTTCTGATCTATGTTATGATGTTGTTTCCTCATCTAAAACATATCTGGGGCTGTGTTTTGGTCCATTCACAGATGTTTATTACACAAATCCTTCATATATAGGTTCTTCTCTCAAAATGAAGTCAGTCTGCTCCTCCTTGTGATGCCATGTGGCAAAAGAGGAAGTGCTTCACTGTGTTTTTAAACTACATTCTCCTTCCCTAGAATCATTTGGCTAATTTCAGCCTCAGGATTTGCCAGTCTCTGCTGAATAAAAGGTAAAGGGCAGCTGTTAATTTGACAAGTACTGCTTCATGATGTTACAAGGTGGAGGCATTTTGAGCTTTGGAGATGCAGACAGATTAATAATAAGGGATTACTCAAAAATGAATGAAACAAAATGCAACTCTGGGTATGTTTTACTACTTTTAGTACAACCACATTTTTCAAGGATACCTGTCCCTTCTGTCACAAGTATCTAATTTACTGGAGTAGACATGTGTGAAAGTGTCACAAGAGCAGTTGTTGTATTTCATTTTATGGAGAGAATCTTCCTGTGTTGCTAAAAACAGATTATATCTAGAGATGCACCAATCCACCTTTTTCAGTTTCAATACGGATTTCAATACTATGGCCTTAAGTTTCTAATGGTTTCTGTCAGAACCAATTTATGTCTTTAAAACAAAAATTAACATGACAAAGCAGATCCAAAAGTGTGATGTAGTTATTTATCCCTAAAGTCACTAAAGAACAGGTTTGTGTAAATAAAAGTTCAAGCATTATGAGACTTTCTGGGCCAACTATGATCAGTAAATATTCTTATTACATCAGTTTATATGTCCAACCAGAATAACGGCTGAATTGATATTTGGAAGCCGATATCCGAAACCAGTTTCAGATTGGTGCATCCCTATTTATCTCTGTTACCAACCTTGTAGTGTGTAGTTAGAGAACAATTAATTCATGCACCAGATGTTAGCAATAGCCTGAAGTTGTTAGTGATTGTGGAGAATTGCAGACTAAATTAAAAGCCCATACACGTCCGACCCCCTTAACCTTGTTATAAAGGTGATGGTGGTTAATGGGCCTCTTTATGCAGTGTGAAAAAGATTAGCTTCAAATGTTGAAGAGCATTTCTCAGAAACTCACAGAATCACCTTATCGATCGGTCTTATCCAGCACAGCCTTCAGATTCACTGTGGGATACAATATTTCTTGCTGAGGTGGTTCAAGCCTTTTCACTGCTGCAGCGGCAAAAACAAAGACTACTGCAATAGTTCCACATCTTTCACATCTTCATTATTTTCTCTCATTTACAAGTTATGAAAAGAAATGCAATCTACATAGAAAACTGATGCAAATTATTGAAGAATCCTGTAGTTCTGGGCAAGAAAAGATCATAGTTTTAATAATGTAATCAATTTGAAACCAGACAATTTCTTCAATAGGTTTAAATTGTGCTTTGACTAAATAATGACTTGTGGGATGTCTCTAGTTCTCCTCCTACTCAGTAACCAAATGCTCTTTGTGCCTGCCTACACTGCACCTTAAAATCTGAGTCAAACCATGAACAAGTGAAGGCTGGTACAGTTTTGTAACTATTGAACATAAGATTTCAACAACTCTTTTCTGTATTGATGTATGAAATAAAAGAGGGGAAAGCCCCTCATTAAATAAATTCTCTGCACATTTATACATTACACATTCTTAAATAACGCTGTAACTGTTAACCATCAGTATTGCTTTGTTTTAAGGCCACAAAGATCTTTGGGTGGGTGGTACTCAGTCGTTCTTCTGGCCATCATTTGATTGTCCCTGGCCTACTTCCAAAAACACCTGAAATATTCATTCAAGTCAGTCTGCAAAGACCAACACTTCATAAAACACTATAGTCATATCTAGACTAGGGATGAAACAATAACAACTGAAATATCCTGATACAGTATCATCAAAAACTTACAGTAATATTGTGGGTCATCTCAATATATTGAATCAGTCTTTTTGCTTAAATTAATTATGATGCAGCAATAGCTAAAAAAAAACAGAGAACTACATGGACCATGATCCTTTGCTGTTTCTGTGCAGACTACATGAAGAAATAATTGGTATTAAGCACTTTTAAATATGAATACTTTGGATAATGACAGAAGCAAAGTTTTGTCCAGGCATTTTAAAAGGAAAAAGTAGCATATTCACAGTTTTTTTTTATTCTCCCTAATCTGGACTCACATGCACACACTGTAACCTGTTATTAAAAATTCTACAATATTTTACCCATCATGCAACTTGTCTTGTTTTAGCCTGCAAACTGGAGCTGATTTAAAAACATATGTCTCCTCTTTTGTAACAGTAAGGGAAGGATGCTGGTATTTGGAACAGCACAGTAGTGAGGCTTAGTAGAAAGCATCAAAGCATCAGTGAAAGCATTTTGAGGTTTTTTTTTTCTTTACAGCTGTTTCTGTTAAACATTTCATAGAGCAAAACTGTGGAGCTTTGCATATTTTGGAGGGCTGGGGTAATCATAAATAGTGATATAGAGTTCAGCCAAGTGTGAAATAAATCAAAATTATATTTATATAATTGAAGTAAAAGGTCCACTGTTCTAGTAGAGCGTACGCCACCTGCTTGTCCCCATGGATATGCTATTGCTTTGACTGGAATATTTCACAATATGGCTTTATTTATGTCTTATCTATTTCCTTTTAATTGCTAAATAGTACATGGATTCTTCTTACTGTGAGCACGGTCTCCACAGATTTGACCTTTTCTCCAAATCTCACTTTGTTGACACACCGATATTGACAAAAACATATTTACAACAATCACAGATTTCTTTCTAATTTAAAATAGTTTGTAATCTGTAATCTGTAACGCTGACACTAATTTGAAGCAGTATATCAACCTCTTGGTTTTTTTTCAGTCCTGGAGATCGACTTCTCAGAGCTGACTCTAGAGGAGATCATTGGCGTGGGCGGTTTTGGGAAAGTGTACCGTGCTGTGTGGAGGGGAACGGAGGTGGCGGTGAAGGCGGCAAGAAGGGACCCAGACGAGGAGGCGGGGCAGATCCTGGAGAGTGTCCGTCAAGAGGCTAAACTGTTTGCCATGCTCAACCATCCCAACATCATGGCTTTGCTGGGGGTGTGCCTGCAGGAGCCCCACCTGTGCCTGGTGATGGAGTACGCTCGGGGGGGTCCGCTGAACCGTGCCCTGGTCCGGAGACGTGTCCCGCCCTGTACGCTGGTGGACTGGGCCGTACAGGTGGCCAGGGGCATGCTCTACCTCCACAGCCAGGCCATTGTACCCATCATCCACCGGGACCTCAAGTCGAGCAACAGTAAGATGTGTTTTTCATTACATTTATAGTCCCTTTAATCCTGCTATTTAGCCTGCGAAAACATATACAACAATATTCTAGTGTAAATATAACATATTTATATTTTTGTTTCATTCACGCCGTAGACTGTATAAAGAAGAGGACAAAAAGAGTGTGACGTCACCTATTGCGTTCTTTTAGGACTAGGAATTTATTTACGGACAGAATAGCAAATAAAAACACCAGGATCATGTAGACGGGGTTTAATATGGACATTTTAAGACCGAAATAACAAGGCTCACAGCAGCAGTAAAGAAAGAGGGGTGACAATTTTTCAATGAACACTTCCTATTTGGAACACAGCAGCTAGTGGGTTATGTCCATTTATATATACAGTCTATGATTCACCCATGCATGCAGCAAATGGAGTTAAAATTACCGGTATTCTACCTTATACTCTCTAAACATTTCCATGGCCAATTTTCACCATTTCAGTATTTAAATAGCTGTCATTGCAGTATGGATATTTATTTGAAAGTTACCCTTTGATCTGGTTATCTATGACGTTATATGACATTATAGTGTTTGCAATTTTTTGCTAAATTGTTAGATATATGACACAAATGTAATTCGCCATCATATTTGGTCACTTGATCAGTTTTATGTTTTTTTTCTATTTATCAAAATCAGCTGAAAGAGGAAAAGTCATGAGCTTGTGTGTTTGTGGAGCAGTTGTAATCTTGCATTATACTGGATCTCCTAAATCCCAAGCCTATTACTGCGGATTTACACAGCACTCTCCCTTCTGCCTCTTCATTGGCTCCTCTTGTACTGATGTCTGCGCTCCTCTCTCATTGGCCCAGTCAGTGGTGAGCAGTGGTGAGGCTCCTATAGGCTGCTGCTGTTACTGTCAAGTCATTCTAGCTACTGCCATAATGAGCTCTAAGGAAAACCCCCATACACAGATACACATATACACAGATACTTTAAGTAGGCCTGTCCAATTTATCAAGTATACACGGTGATATATATATAGTTATTCCTCCATTCAATTACAAAACATTGTGTTCAGTGTTCTGAACTGAGCACTCATTCTGAACCCACAAACCTGGAGCATTATATCTTGCAGTTAATCAATAACAAGTTTTTAATTGATTAAACATTTAAAAAAAATAATATTATATGAGCTACTGTACATATAGTGAACCTAATATGAACCACAAAACATTACTACCATGATACACATCTGTTTCTTTTTTTATTATTACACAAATAATTGCTATTATTATCTTTTATGAATTGAACAGTATTTGTTTTAAGGTAGGATATATACGCAAACTGTGTACTCACATAAAAGTATGTTTCATAGTATTCGTCATAGCCTTGGTTTGGTCAGAGGCTGTTCTGAAGTGGTATTGTCAGACTGCACTGACGCAGACTGTGGTGATGTGGATGAGAGCGCTCCACTAGATTTAGCTTTTCTTTAGGCCACAAATGTGTTACAGGCCCAAGTGAAATCATGGAGTAGTGAACACTGATCACTCACTTAAAAAGATAAACATGACTAGCATAGCAAAAATATGTTTTTCCTATTGTATCCCCCTTGTTAAGACATGTCAACCTTTGTAGACATATAGGGAGCTAATGGTTCAAACAAACTCTGAAATATTAATATTCTAAAAATATTGTCACACTAGTATAGTTTTAAGAACAGGTGAAACAAAAATATGTCTCTGTAGGACATAGATAATTTTTTCATGAGATTATTTAGATTATTTCTAGCCTGTAATGAGTAATTATTGATTATTGATTATGGTAAAAGGTTCCAATCAAATGAATAGATTTTATTTCAAACTAAAATATGTCTCCTTTGTGCTGTTTCTCCTAACCAAGCTGTTCTGGCCCTGCATTACTGTGCATTAACTTGAGTGCATGCATTACATAGTAATAGACTGTGATTAGTCCCCAGAGCTTTGGATGTACTTTAACATTAGACTGGACGAGCCTGAAGGGTTTTGTGTCGTGTGGTGCAGTGGAGCCACATGATGAGGGGGGTTTGATGTTTGCCACAGCCCCAGGACACACCCCGTCTCTGGGCAACTCCAGCAGATGGTCTGGCATCCATGAAGGAAGTGGTCTGGGAAATTTTGCTGACTTTTGCTGCAGTGTTTACTAATATGTTTACCTAATTCATTTTAATTTTAATTTTAATTTTCTATATATGTTTTTAAGTTTCATTTTGTTATAATTTGTTCTTTTTCAATATCATTTTTTTTTTAAAAATCATTTATAGCTAATTTATTAAACCTAATGGTACACATGGACTGAGGCTTTTTATTAAAATGTTTTGGTCACCCTGGTAGTGGTAGGTATCTAGAAAAAACAAAACACAAATTTGATGGTAAACAGTTTACCCATTTCCAACACCCAACTTAGATTTTTCCAACATTACAAAAGACCTATTCTTAGATCTCCTTTTCTCTTTCTTCACTTAAATATTGTGTTTTGAAAATGCTTGTGTCTCACATCTTTCTGCTTTCCCTGTTTTCTTCTCTCTTTCCTTCCTTTTGAATCCTTTCATCTTGCCCCATTTTTCTACATCTCTACAATACAAATTTACACATAATTATCTTGCATGTGAACTCCCCCAACATACCACCGGTGATAATTTTTACCCCCTTTTATCCTTTTATTTGTAACTTCAACCAAAACTCCATCAACCCCACCTCACTTCCCCTACATGTAGTCCTAATTCTGGAGCGAATTGAAATGGAGGATTTGAACAACAAGACGCTGAAGATCACTGACTTTGGGCTGGCACGAGAGTGGCACAGGACCACCAAAATGAGCGCTGCCGGGACATACGCCTGGATGGCCCCCGAAGTCATAAGATCATCCACATTTTCCAAGGGGAGCGATGTGTGGAGGTGTGCTCATGTTTTGGGATTGCTCAGTGTTCCAGTGTGGATAGGGATAGTGTCGGAAATATGTGGATTTCATTAGTGTTCAAGGTACACTTTCTGGTGAAGGGTCCGTCAAATGCTTTTCTCCATGGAGAAGTTATTCCTTTCTCTGGAATGCTTCACAGTATGGTATTAAACCTTTCTATCTTCATGGACACCAAACCAGGCCAACTTACAGGCGAGATCTGTGGATAGGCAACCCCACTCACACTCAGAGGGCAGTTTTTCTAGATATTCTTGAGCTATAAAACTACCTATAATTGAAAAAAATGTAAGATAGAACTGTTTTATGTCATACTTTGGAAGATTCCAGGCAGAGCTATGACATATCCACAGAAACAAGCAGGTGATGGACCACTAGAGTCAATTTTGTGTAATATAGGACATTTAAAACACAAATTGTCATAATGTGGTGAAGGCTCAAAAACATATGATACACTCTAGTCATGTCATGTCATAAAATAATAAATGGTTGAAAATATATTATGAAAAAAGCATGAATCAGTATAAACTCAACATAAATGCAGAAAACAAAGTCAATGTACAGACCATATTGTCACATTCAGTTGGATAAATCTTCTGACAGTTAAGCGTGTTTGTTTACTGAGAATCATTTATTACCGAAAATAGCTGTTACATGTGCTTCACTTCTGCCTGACCAGTCAGACAGTAGACTGTGCCAAAAACAGAAAATGTGTTTTGATTTCACTCTTGATGAAGTTGAGCTTTTGCTGCAGTTGCCATGGGAACACAGAGAGCTTAACCAAAAAAAGAAAAAAAAGAAAAGAAAAAGAACAAATTACTGCATTATAGCGGCACACAAAACTGGGGCAGGTCAAATGGAGCATTCAAGTATAAATATAGGGTACAGTATATTGGACTGGCCAGAGAATGTCAAACTAAAGGCTTAAAATGATCAGTGGAAAAAGTAGAAAAACACAGACATATGAAGTGACATTGATTAGCGATAGTTTGAAATATAATATTAATGTTCTAATGCCTAAAAAAATTTACCGACCATTAATAATCTCCATATGAATTTCTGTTGTATTCTCTGTAACCACTATGAGAGAGAGGACTTACATTTTATTAGACCAGATATGTCACAACTGAATGGAAAAAGTAGCTACTATTATGATTAACCTTAAAATGTAGAACTCATATTTGCTTTCAAGGTATACTGCTTTTTAATGGAATATGCAAACTACAGTGCTTTCCTTTAAAACATTTATTCAAATTAACCACTAACACTCTCCCTACTTAACATTCATATATTCATAGACACATTTTACCCACTGATTATTTGAAATGATGTATTAGCAGTGAATGGAACTCACATCACAAGCTCCTTTATGTTGCATTACAACTCCTTTTATTTGTTTGCCTCTGTTAAAGTTATGGTGTGTTGCTATGGGAACTGCTGACCGGAGAGGTGCCATTCAGAGGCATAGATGGACTTGCCGTGGCGTATGGAGTCGCTATGAACAAACTGGCACTGCCTATCCCCTCCACCTGCCCTGAGCCATTTGCACGACTTATGGAGGGTAAGACACAAACTGATACAGCCTCTGTGTTTATTATGACATTTTAATAAATGGATTAATTATTTCAGTTTCAGTTTCTTCCATTCAAAATGCATACATACATATTTATACCAGCCAACGGTGTCCATTCAAAATGATTTTCCTTTTCTTTTTTGCTTTCCTTTTTAGTTTTTAGAAACAAATAAAAGATTCTATCTTAATTTCAGACATATTTATTCTATTCTATTTTTTTTTGTGTGATGATGATACTCACATTTAAAGGTGCACTGTATAAACTTTCTAGTAGGGGGTCCGCCGCAAACTTGTTTCCGTGGATATATTATTGTTTTGCCTGAATGGTTTCCCAGTATGGCATTAAAGTCATGTATGTTGGATTTATTCAGTTACAGGTGCTTTACGTCTCAAAAATATGATGTAAAAAAACATGCATTCCTACAGTGAGTGAGCTCACCTCGCTACAGATCTGACTCATAACTTGGCCTTTAGGCATTCTGGGCTTGTCTCCATGGAAATAGTTATGTTTAATGCCATACTGTTGGACATTCTAGGTAAAAAAAATAATAATTCCATGAAGCCAGGTGGTGGACCCTCCACCAGAAAGCTACTTGATTTTTACTATTTAACTATTTCTCCTGCTGGTCGGCTGCATGTCTCTAACAAAAATAATTCCTCCAGCTTTGGGAATTAATTAAAGTTCTGTTTCTGATTTACAACATTTCATATTAATACATTTAAATTAATTTGGAAGCTGAGGCTACATGAAATAAATACCTTCAAATGCTCCTCAAGTGGTTTGTGATGTATTTAATATTTTGTGTTTCCTTGTAGCTTGCTGGAGCCCAAACCCTCACTGTCGTCCCCCGTTTAGCTCGATCCTGCACCAGCTCACCGCCATCGAAGAGTCTGGGTTTTTCGAGATGCCCGCTGAGTCCTTCCACTCTTTGCAGGACGACTGGAAACTGGAGATACAGGAGATGTTCGACCAACTCAGGATCAAGGAGAAGGTACAGGAAGGAATTCATTAAATAGGCATCATGTTGTTGTGGCAAAAATTATATATCTCTTGAAGATAAATAATGAATCCATTTGCGAGTATAGACCAAAGTTTATTCTTTTTACAGCAGATATGGACAGGGCCTAGGCCTTTCCTGGCCAAAGCCCAACAGCCTCTCCCCACCAGCAGTATGTTCCTACTACATTTCCCACCGTATCTCCTCAGTGCATTTGAGCTCAGAGTATTTATACAGAAATACAAGTTACATACATATCAAAGCAGAGTGACTTTGGTTTCAGAGGCTGGTGCTAAATTAACATACAGTTGAGGATAACAAAGGGCTTCCTGAAGGAGGAGACAGTTGTGCCTGATGAACCTTTGTTTGGCGAGGAGAAAATTCAGTTTGTCAACTGGACAAATGTTAGTTTGGTTGAAGACGTTTAGCAGCTCATCCAAGCTTGCCATGGATTCTACCTGGACAACTGAGGGATTCTTCACACTTTACACGTGTTAATGACTGGTTTGGGTTTCAGGTAGAAATCACATTCATTTACACAAAGACAGATTCAGAGAAAACTTTCCACAATCTAAAGTTCTATCACAATGTGTTTGTATATTTGTGTATGTTTAATTTGCCACACAAGATAGTTTTCTTTTTACAGTGATACATTTTTTTCCATTTATCACTTTTTGCCAATCATTTATTAAGATTATTAAGATTATAAGATTATTAAGATGCACTATGTAACTTTTTTGTTGGGGGTCCAACATCTGCTCATTTCTTTGGATAGGTCATTGCTCCACCTGGAATGTTCCACAGTATGACATTAAAAAGTTCTACCTTACATTTATTCAATTACAGATGGTTTTATAGCTCAAAAATCCCTTGAAAAACATTCTGACTGTGAGTGGTGTTGCCTTTCCACAGATCTGACCTCACTCTTGATCTGGTTTGATCTTCCTGAAGATAGAAAAGTTTAATTCCATACTATGAAACATTCCAGAAGAAGCAATAACATCTTCATGGAGAAAAGCATTTGATGGACCCTCCACCAGAAAAGTACACAATGCACCTTTAAGTTTGAGTGGCTCTCCTTAAGCAACAAATGTAGCACCTGAACTCTTCTGGGGCATTTGAATGCTTGGTGATTTGGTTCTATCTCTTTGATTTAAAATGTCCAAATATAGCTTTTTAAATTAATTATGAAAACAATGGTGCGTTCTCAGTTGTCCTGGTTTGGAGCCAGATTGAGTCGCTATGTAGATTTGGTTTGGTCCTGTTCTAGTGAAGGTTTAGTTTTGTCCCAATTTTCGAGGTTTTAATTATACTAGTGTGAAGCAGCCTTAGTAAAAGTATATCAATGTCATATAGCCTTTCACTGTGTCTGTATTTGATCTGTTTATTTTACTTGTGAAGGAGTTGCGGTCGTGGGAGGAGGAACTGACCAGGGCCGCGCTGCAGCAGAAGTGCCAGGAGGAGGAGCTGCGGAGGCGAGAGCAGGAGCTGGCCGAGCGAGAGATCCACATACTGGAGAGAGAGCTGAACATCATAATACACCAGCTGTACCAGGACAAGCCCCACGTGGAGCGGAGGCAGGGCAAGTTCCGCCGCAACCGCCTCAAACTCAAGGATGGCAACAGGATCAGCCTACCATCAGGTAACATTGTGATTTCCTGTGTGGTTTTACTTTTCAAACTCTTATTTTGTCTCAACAAATGCCAATGATCATGATTGGCAGATAAACCAATCAGCGTAATGCGTAGTCCATTTGTGTAAAAGCAAACGTGGCTGCTTACAAATAATTAGGGCCCACACAAATTTATGATGTCTGTTATAAGGTTGTTTCATTCACACACGTTTTACACACAAACGCTGCAGTTCATCACTCAGACAAAAAAACTGTTTCACCTTGTAATGTCATGTGGTAATGCAGGAAGTGCTCCACTGTGTTTTTAAACTCCGTACACCTTCACTAGAATCATTTAAATCATTTCAGCCCTGGCATTGGCGATCTCTGCTGAACAGAAGGTAAAAAGTACTTGAAAACTACTACTACTACTACTACTACTACTACTACTACTACTACTTTTACTACATGATATCACAAGGTGAAACAGAGCATATTGCATTTTGGAGATGTAGACAGACAGGTTACTGAAGCATGTGTGAATGAAACAAAACACTACTCCGATACGTTTTTGATGAGGTTACAACATTGTAATTATGCTAAGATTTAATGTTGATTTTGTGTTGTTTCTCTTTATAGATTTCCAGCACAAAATCACAGTTCAGGCTTCACCGTCCCACGACCGCCGCAGGAGTTTACTCAGCAGCAGCTCCAGCCCTCCCACCAGCCCACCCGTCCTGCCGCGCCTCAGAGCCATACAGTGTAAACTACATTTACATTTACATTCACTATTACACAAAAACATCATATGTGTCTTATCTTAAGCCATGTCTTTTTATAGTAACCCCCGGAGATGGATGTATGGCCTTTTACCGCTCCACAAGTTTGAGTCATGAGGAAGAGGAAGGAGTGAAGAGAGGATCCAGGAAGAAGGGCCGGTGCAGAGGCAATGGAGCCCAGAGGGAACATAGTGCTGACAATGTGTAAGATGCATTTTTATTAGAGGTGGGCGGTGTTTAATCATCTACATTGGTGCTAATAAAGGCATACTATTTGCCAATTGATTTAAACTTAAAGGTGCATTATGCTTAATCAACTCTTGTGAGATTTTAGTTATGTTGTTACCTAATCAAAAACATACCTGGAGTTGTTTTTTGTTCCATTCACACATAATCCTGAATTATTAATCTGTCTACATCTCCAAAACTCAAAGTGCTCTGATCCACCTTGTATGACATCACAAGCTGTAATTTTTCAAATTAACAGTTACCTTTTACCTTTAGTTCAGTAAAGGTAGGCAAATCTACATCTGAAATCATCCAAATTATTCTAGTGATGGTTTATGGAGTTTAAAAACACAGTGGAGCACTTCTGTATTACTACATGACAGTTATTATTTATTTTGTTTATGCTTTTGTACAGAGCTAAGCCGGCCCGCGAGGGAACTAGGCAGCGTTCCTGCAGTGCCCCAAACCTGCGCAGATCTCCCAGGCATAGTCCAGCAGTGCCCGGAGTCCCCAGTCTGGTGGAGATGGGTGAGTGTTTTAACTTTTTTAGACTAACTTGATTTCTGACTTAATAATAAAGGTAGATCATGAAAAAGTAGTACTAATCCCTTATGCACCTGCAACTCTTTGTGTTTTCAGAAAATGAAGACTGCTGCTTTTCCACTGATCCCAGCTCTTCTCCAGGACAGTCCTACCTCTGTATCCCCTTCCACAAAGAACCCCAGCCCTCCTCCTCCGCTGCTGCTGACTCTGATGGAGACGAGTACTGTCCCATGGTCAGTGTGCCCACCTCTCCCCCCTGTAGGAGGAGTCCCGCTGGGGTGCGCTCCTCTGACGTCGTCCTGGTCGGGTGTGGAGCTATACTGGCTGCGGTTGGACTTGGGTTAAACATGTTAAATTTCGCCCATCCTGAAGAAAGCGTCAAATCCAAATGGGACAGTTTATTTCACAGGACAGGGGCACAGACGCGTAAGCTTTTCAAACGGGATAGCCCACTTAAACCTCCTGAAAAACTCCTACCATCTTCCTATACGTTATTAACTGACTGTAAGTCCACTCGTTCACTGTTAAGAACAGACAGTGAGGAGCTCTTGGTGTATCGTCCAAATTCGCCATCACAGCAGCTCACATCTCAGCCCTCCGGTCATGTCCCGTTGAATCCTCTGGTAAATACACAGGTGGAGAGTTTTAAGCGTAACCCTCGTCAGTCGCTCACCCCCACGCATGTCCCTTCAGCACCCCCTGCGTCTCGAAGTTTGCGTCGTATACCCTCAGATGGAGCCATTAAAAAACACTGTCCCGTAAACAGTCTGGAACCGCTGCCAGAGAAAGAAGCTTTGGAAAACACTGGTGAGTCCATAATATCTATTTCTAATGTGGATATATAATGGTACAACCAATATTTTACAGTTAAAGGTACACTGTGTAACTTTTCTGTTGGAGGGTCTACAGATTTCTTTTGCCTGGAATGTTCCACAGTATAGCATAAAAAAATCTATAGCTTTTGCACTTGTTTTGTTTTGGGTAAGGGTTTATACTGCTGAAAAATACCTTGAAAAAACCTGCCCTTCCATAGATCTGACTTATAACTTGGATCTTCTGAACTAGTCTGCTCAATTTTAATATACTGTGGAATGTTCTGAGCAAAGTAATGATATCTCCATGGGGACAAGCAGGTGACTTGCCCCCAACTGCAAAGTTACACATTGCATCTTTAACATTGCTAATGTTTGATTTGAGAACTTGTTTGGCCCCAAGCTTCAAAAGTTAATATCTTCATTTCTTTTAAGTAGACAATTTCATTAACAAGATATATTTACCTCGACATCACTAATGAAACTGTCTGCCCAAAGAAATCAAGATATTATCTATGGAAACTGAAGACCAAAAGTACAAAAGCTTCAATCAGTATGGATTTCATTTATTTTGGTGATTTTAGAGAGTTTTTCATTTTTGGATCAGATATTTTAGTTATATGTATATCAGTGAGCTAATATTAATGACCTAATATTTCTGAAGGCTGTTTTTAAAGTTGTGTTCACCTGTCTGGAAAATGTGATGCAGCAGTAGCTAAATGATACAAATTATAATATTAATGAAACGTGGTCACTGAAAAATAACTAAACATGTTCAAACTCAAGTCATAATGGTTTTCTATTGTTTGTTTTATGGAAATTATTGTAAGTACAAGTTGAAGTATTGTATTAAGTTTTAATTCAGCTGCTTTCTGCTAATGTGAAACTGTCCTCTCAGGTATCTTCAGACCTCTCAGAGATGACTGCTCTTTTGTCCCACGGCTGCCTGACCCAAACCTGGTCTTCCCCCCCACCCCTCGTCGTCGATGCCCCCCCGAACGCCCCAAGACCCTGGACTTTGTGGCTCGACCCAGACCCTCTCCACGGGCCCGGTTTGACCCGGCTTTCTGGTCTGAATCCAAACCCAAGGGTAACGGAGAGTCCCCAGCTCATACCTCCAGCACTGAGACCCCGCCCACTTCAGAGTTCGGACGGGACAGTGCCGTTCCACCCACCCCTGTAGAGACCCCAAAGCCATTTTCACCAAGAAAGACCCAAAAAAACCTCCTGGATCAACTGGATGAGGAGCAGTGCAGAGACGGAACAGTGCCACTATGCAAAGCAGACATTCCCAAAGACTCACCTTACAAATACAAGCCTGGGTTTTGGTCATAACCCATGTGTAAAAATGACTTGGATCACTAAATGTTTATAAGCAGACTGAAGGAGCTGCTTCTTGCCTAATTTGTGTGAAAGTAAAATAATAAGTGGCCTAAGATGTATGGAAACAGAATGTGACAGTGTAATTGTTACCATGGCAATGTAGAAATTAAAATGTGAATTTAAGACTTAACCTGTTTGAATTACATGTTTATGTTTCCACCAAGATTATGTAAAAATGTGAAGTAAACATCGGAACCAAAACCATGAATCATTAGTTTATCCAGTATAATTTAAAACGCATCATTTGTTATTGTACATTTTGAATGAATTATCTGTGCATATGACTTCTTTTTTTATCTGGCCATTCTAGATATTTGAATCTACCAGGAAATTCCTATAAGGATTTTATTGATAAAGAGTACAAATATTCACCACTCCCCCATTTAAACATATCAGTTCTCACAAAGCTACACTGTTTAGTTGAATTCGAGGATTGTGCATTGATGAAGTGCACTTGTAGAAAGCACCGTGAATGTAAATCTTCAGGTTTTCACTTTTAAAACACACTGCTGTATTTTATATTTGTTGTTTTCTTAATATTTCACTTTGTATTGAGCCAATCACTTGTCACTCAAAATACTATGAATGCGGACTTAGTGTAAAGGAGAGCAACTTCACGCAATTTACCCACAATGCAATGTGATCTGTCATTGTCTGTGTAAATGGCTGATCTAGTTAGGCCTGTCAGGATAAGCTCATTTTGAATCACAATATACTGATACAGAAAAATATCCTGATAAACAATAATATTGAAACTACCACTGACACAAAGCAGTGATATTTTTCTAAGAGAACCTTATTGTAAATTTAACACTAGTGGTTAATTAAACGTGTCATATATCTTAATTATTCAATGATCTACAGGTCAAATGTTACCATAGCATATTAATTCTGCAATAGAGAAAATTCAAAAGTACAGTACATTCAATTACTGCCTGAAAAATACTGTCTCATATTGAACAATAAATCGATACAGTAACTATCATGACAGGCCTAGATCTAGCTGAATTGTATTTGACCTCAGAAATGTTTGTTTGTCCCAGTATGAACCATGGCAAAAAATGTGTTCACTAAAAGGGGACACTGTGTACATGTAAATTTGTCTGCCTCATGATGTTGTATTAGATTATTGATCAAAGAAGGGATGCATGAGAGTGAGGCCAAAAGACTGAGGCTGTGCCCAGTCTGCATGTAGCAACTGTTCTGTATACTTTAAGATATGTATTATTTGTTTTGTTTATTGTTTATTTATTTGCATTCATTTATTATATTTATTTTTATTATTAATCATATGAATTTTAAACCAAATGCCTTGGCCTTTATTTTGAAAGGCACCTCAATGCTAATATGTCATTCATTTACGCTGCTTTGAGTCTTATACTGTGTTATGATATAGGACTGTGTATTCTGCATTTCCTGGTTTTATTTTGTATTTGTCATTGTAATCTATCCTTACCTCTCATATCTTTTAACTGTTACTATTTGATTGATTATTTCTTGCTGACTTTTTTATTCATTCAACAGCTCTCTGCATAACCCTGTGGCTGCAATCGTCACCTAGATTTGAACCCCCAACCCTTCTCGATTTCCTTATGAAATATTTTTGTGTAAATGTATAATCTGAATGCATTTCTGAGGAGTCTGATGAGTGAAAACACAGGGTGAAAAATGCTCCGTGTTACCAGTAATAAGCTGATGATGGTTCATATTGTGATGGGAGGTAAAGTGTATGTGAATGGCTTGTTTTTGCACTGGAAACACTGATTTGAGTAAAACAATGTAAAAGTCAAGTGCGTTGCTGTTTTTGTTGGTATGAATGAAGTTAAAATTATCGAGTCATCGGAGTCGATGGAGCCAGAAGTGCCCCCATGCTCACTTCCTATTTGAAATGTATATACACAGTCTATGTCCTTGACTTATAGAATATGTTATACAGTATTTAGTATTTAAGTTTTGCCTATGTAGATTGGTATTCAGTTAATTAAATGCATGATATAATAACAAATATTCACAAAAGCAAAGTTATATTTCAATAGACATTTATTACACCCGTACAGTAAACTTGAAACACAGTATTTGTCAATACAGAAGCAGCGAAGTGAAGTGCTTTGACACATATAGCTTGCCTTTTCTTTCCATTTTAAATCCTAGTCATTTCTATAAACTATTTACAGTTTGTGATATGTCTGGTAACTGCACTTAGCAACTGTGTGCTCAAAATACGCACTCCAAGCACCTAACGTTTGGTTTTAAAAGTTAAAGCACCATGCAAAAGTTTTAGACAGTTTTAAGACAGAAAGAAAGAAACAGAAGAACATAGATATCCTTGGTCCCTTTATGACCTTAAAGGTGCATTGCGTAGCTTTTCCAGACCAATTTACAGGTCAGATCTGTGGAAAGGCGACCCCGCTCACAGTCAGAATAGCTGTTTTTCTAGGTATTTTTGAGCTCTAAAACTGCCTGTTATTAAATAAATGTAAGGTAGAGTTGTTTAATGCCATACTGTGGAATATTCCAGGCAGTGCAATGGCATTTCCATAGAAACAAGCAGGTGGTGTACCCTCCATCAGAAAGTTACACAGTGCACCTTTAAAACAACAAATATAATATGCAAAAAGTATTTGTCTGAAAACTTCTGCACAGCAGTAGAGAAGTGTGCTTGCTGACTAAGTTGTAAGTCATGCGTTGTGGTGATGACATCTTGTGCGAAGGCAGGTGCTATCTACAGCTACTAAACTCAAGTCTGCTTGTTGGTCCTGACTCTATCACAAGTGTTGGCATGTTCTTGTGCAATGTTTTGACTGGCAGTGCATTCATTTCTAGGGTTAAGTAATCATTGTGTTGTGGTCACACGGCCTTGGTTCATGGGGATATTATAGAAAATGCAACTAGAAATTATGATTAAAGGGCTTATATTACATAAACTTGACTTTTATGAGCTTTAAGGCTTGCTGTTGCCTCTTCAAAAACATACCTGGAGCTGTGTTTTGTTTTATTCACACGTTGTCTAATCCTTTTTTAATTGGTCTGTCTACATCTCCAAAGCTCAAAATGCTATCTTCCACCTTGTGATGTCATGAAGAGGTAATTTTCAGGTTAATAGCTCCTTTTACCTTTTGTTCAGTAGAGACTCGCAATTCCATGGCTGAAATCATCCAAATTATTATAGGTGTATAGAGTTTAAAAACTCAATGGAGAACTCCCTCTATTACCTGTATTCCTGTATATTGTGTTTGAGAGAATAACTCCAGGTATGTTTGTGATGAGGAAACAATATTATAACAGAGACCAGAAAATAGAATAATATGGGCCCTTGAGGTGTGTATTCTTGAACTGAGGAATACTGTGGAAACTAATAGCAATTTTACTAATGTATGAAGAAAATAAGTGATTCACATATCATCTTTTAAAACAGAGCAATCACCCATAATATGATAAAACTTCAGTCTACACCTATGCAATGAAAATGACGCACTATATGTATTTCTTTGAATGAATTTTAATAACTTGTTCACCCATTTCTATTGTACTGTATCCTCCCTTTTAAATGCACCTATCTGCAGCATACGGTCATCTAACTATAATATTTTAGTTCAAAACTCTTTCTTTTCTTTAGCAAATTAAATTAATAATACATGTAAATAAAGGTAAACTTGCTCCTCAGTGTGGCTGTATCAAACTTAAATAAATACTCAGCTAATTCTTTGTATGTTAATATGTTACAAAAATGTGATTTAATTCATATGGGGACATATAATTCAATCTTTTGTATCCCCACTGAACCCATACTCGTACTCATAAAGGTATATTGTCAAAATAGCACAGTTAAAGAAGCCTGAAGCTCACAATGGTGTAAGACCACAAAACCATATGTTGTTGTGCAAGGCAAAAGTTCAACCTAAAGACACTGGCAGTGAGATTTTGGACCCACTGTTTGTTGAAAGTCTGAACTGTTGAAACTGGGCTGATTTCAGATATGAGAGAATCAAGTGGTGAAAAGGCAGTGTTTATGTGGCCTCCTTCTCCCTCTGAGCGTTACGGCGAATTTTCATCTCAGTCAACTGGATGTACCGGATGACGTTGGTGTCTGCAATCAAACAAAATAGGAAGATAATTTTATTTACTAGATGTGAGTGTTTTTATTGTGAATTAATGCAGTGTTTCTCATACTGTGGTGGAGGGGTTTAATTGTTAATCCTGCTTAAATTATGCATAGTCTTGTTTGGTTTAATCCTGGTTTAGTCCTTCCTTGCTGACAGGTCTATGTACCGTTACATTTTAGGCAACCGAACAATTGAATTTTATAAGGAAATTGTATTTATGTGCTAATAAAATTCACATTTTTTTTCTTTTTTCTTTTTTTTCCCTGCAAATGTTCTGGGGCTACTCCCTCTCCTCCAATGTACTGTTTCAAGAAATTGATGTGCAAAGTTCTCATTCATGCAACAATAAATGGTTGAAATTAGTTTAGTTGTTGTAAAATTTCCCATATTTTTTTGTTTGGAGAAAAAGCAACAAATTCCAAGGTTAACGCGCACACAAATTCAAAGCTTATTTAAACATAAGGTAACAGCTAATTCATTCTAATAGATTTTCTCATTATCATAATCATAATTAATGAAGACAGGTTTCCCCAAGAGCTTTGATACCTTGCCACAAAATACTGATACATCCTTACAAGGCTACTACTGTAGCCATGGTGCATTTTGAGCTTTTTGTACATGTTTTTCCAATGTGTTTTTTAACTACACATGGAAAACAAACTAACTAAACCTATGCTAACTGTTTTAGTAATACATGTACATATTTTGCCTCTTTTTATCTACCACATTTCATTCAAATATAGTATAATAGCATTTTTACTTACTTTGCCAACATGAGCAAACATCTCTACAATCCCCTTATCAGTCCCACACCATGCACTCAGTATTAAAGCTTCACACAGTCCCTCTGTTGGAGCCAAGTCCAAAGCCAATATGTTTTTCTGTTATTACCTTGCCTGGCTCACCAATTTACCCCATACCCATTATCTCTTATGTCATTCTGTTCTCACCATGTTTCTTTAAAGGAGGTTACACAACAATAACTTTTATGGACATCTCATATATTCCCATATACAGTCAGTCAATCAAATTACCAAGGCGCCAGAGCAGTAAAAGCAGCTCATATTACCAAATGCGTTAAATGAATTTAAAAGAGCAGAAGTAAATTTTCCGACAAAATGATTGCATTGCAGTTGTAGCACAGGTCTTCATGTCTGATTAGTATAGTTCAAATTATTGATTTTATTATATGTCTCCAGTATGCCAGTATGACAACCTGAGTTTAAGCCTAGGCTGACAACTAACATTTATCTTAAACAGGAGCAAACAAGGGTTTATATCATGTATCTAAGATTAAAATCCTATATAACACAAATGAAATCCAAATTTACACAGAACTGACTTTTGTGGGCTTAAAGCGATGTTGTAATGCTATTACCCCATCAAAAACATACCTGGAATTGTGTTTTGTTTCATTCACACAGTTTGTCATGGTTCCTGGTTCATTAGTCTATCTACATCTCCAAAGCTCAAAATGCTCTGTTCCAACTTGTGATGTCATGTAGTGGTAGTCTTTAACTTTTAATGGCTACCTTTTAACTTTTGTTCTATTCAAATTATAGTTAAAATTATCCAAATGATTCTAGTTAAGGTCTTTGGAGTTTAAAATCACAGTGGAGCACCTCCTGTATTACCCCATGACATCACAAAGTGGAGCAGAGTATTTTCAGTTTGAGAGAAGAACTCAGGTTTTGTGTGTTGAACATGTGAGGTTTGTTTGTGATGAGGAAACAACCTTATAACATAGTTCAGTATAATGCATAATACTGTATGGGCCCTTTAAGTAACTTGCATTATGGATTCATATTCTGTAAAGTTCCTCTGTTCTTGTCTTTACCTGATGGTTCCTGCTTGTGTGACTCCTTCAGGTAGTGCAGAGCCTTCTGGTAGTCGCCAAGGTGGTAGTAGGCCACTCCGGACCGGTACAGTGCTTTGAAGTTCTTTCCTTCTTTGTGCAGCACTTTGAGACAGTACTCTTTGACGCGCTCATAGTTCACCAGCTCCATCTGCAACAGGCACGCTGTGGAGGCAACACACAAGAAGAGTTAATACAGTGGGCTGGTTTATGTTACAGCTGAGAACCTTTCAATTCTAGATACATTACTAGATATCTGGTTTTCGGTACAATGATGTTTATAAATCCACGATTACTCTGAAGAAGCATTTTTATCATTTGTGTGTGGTGTGCATGTAACTTTCTAAAGTGTTCTCCCAGGAATCAAAATTATAAATAAATATTTATTTTTATTTAATTATTTTATTAGCAAATTTTACATACATTTTGAAATACATTTTTCATATTTTAGTTTTCTGCAAAGGTATTTAATTTTATTGTATGTAGCTAAAGCTATGGGTGGAGCAAAGATAATGAGATCTGAGATCCTTCTCGAGATCCAGACTGAATCAAAGGAGCAGGGTCTATGTGAGACCCAAGACCAAAAGGCTGATCCAGAGACAGCCACTAGACCAACAATTGATATAATTTTCAGAAACTAAAGAAAAGGTTGAGGACTCCACTGGACGAGAGCTCTCAGTCCAGTGTGAGGTGGCTCCTGTCTCAGACCTGGTCAGTCAGTCTGAGAAGCTCCTTGTGATCCAGGCTGGATCAGAGGAGACTGATCGAGACACAGAGACCCTTCATAGAAATATTTTACATGATAGAATGTTTGTGATTTACAAGACAAGAGGAATTTGACAGGAAAGTGCATCCTGCACAGCACATACGATGAAAAACAGTTACTTTTTACAGAGAATCCTATAGTGCCCCTTTAAAATTTGTTATCAGGACTGACCTTGTTAAGTACTGTCAGTGGCAAAATACTTTCAGTTATAGTGCAACTGAAAACACGTAAAGAAACACTGCACCGCCATATAAAGTCTATACACTGGAGGTTGCCTAATATGAAGATAACCTGTAAGATCTGACACAGTATTGTAATAACACTGGTCATACTAAAAATACCGGTGGAGGGTGGCTCTCATGTTGGTGAAGAAATATTATTCTACTAATTAAAAAGAATGACACAGTTGCATTATTAGACAAATTGGACTAAATTAGCTGCTCCCGATAGCGTGAGATAAGAGCCTACTCTTGTTAATTGTCTCTGATGAATATAGGAGCTTTAATGAGAGACCTTGAGGCAAAGAAGGGGTGAAGGGAACTACAAGTGATTATAAAGAGGCCACAGCAGTGAGTGGTATCTGTACAGAGAATGAGTCATACTGGTATAAATGATTCATGAGTATTCCCCCTGTTGTTGAAGACTCTTCACGAGAAAAGGTGAGTGACGTCTACAGAACAAGGCTGACGTAAGGCAAGGCAAGCGACTGACACAAAACTGGTGTGATCTGGCTCAAGAAATGTCCACAAAATAAACACAGAATAATAAATAGTATAACTATATATTTTACTATACATTTCAAACTCTATTTAAATAGAAGAAAAAAGCTCAATACAAAAGTAAAAAATTAGAGAAAATCAACACTGATGTACTGATCTTTGAACTGTAGTCTCCTTTATCATTAACTCATTAACTAATTATAGCCTACATTTTATACAAACAAATAATTAGACCTATCATGATAATTAAAACTATATTGAGTGATAACTCAATATAGACAGATGGAACAATATTTTTTCAGGGTCAATATTTAGCATCTGTACATTTTGTTTTTAGTTATTCTTTGGCCATTTGATGAGATTTGAGATGCAAACTAAGTACTATTGAAATATTTCATTCTGCTGATTATGTATTGCACCATGTGTTTTTTAACAACATTGTACATTTAGAATATTTTTCATGTTTTAAATCTTTTCTTAGGTTATTGTGTCAGTGGCTTAAATTTGTTTCAATATTATCATTTATTGTCTATAATATCTTCAGCAATATATCGTGCTTCAAAATATTTTATCATGACAGGCTTACAGATAATAATAGTTTATTTAATTCCACTTTATGGTAAAGTATCAATATCTAGTCAAATGACAATAATAATGGCAATACTAATTTTAGAATGAATCTAAGTATTTATGTATTTTATGAGTAGGAGCTGAATTATGCTTTTCAAGTGGCCCAGTGTCTTTCATTATTGCTTTAAGTTGTCATCAAGAATATATTTAGCATTTTTATGCCAGTTTCAGCAGTGGACTCGGATTTCACACTGACACATGTTGTTTTGGCTCAACTTTGGAGTTCTGACCCTTGACCTCCAGCACAGAAGGCACCAGTTGTCTGCACAGGTTAGAGACACAACAGGAGCAATAGCACTTGAATGTTACCAAATTTGAAGAAGCCCAGATTATGAACTGGCAGTAGATAACATTTACAGAAAGCAAAGCATTCAGTCTTCTATAACTAATATTTCAGCATTTATTTAACATAAATATTTGATTGTCTCCTACTTAGGATTTTGACTTGAATTGTTTTAAGCTACACTGTAACTTTAGTATTCTATTTCATTAAGATTAACTCTTGTCTAATATTGTCACTACATCTAACATTAGGTCCATAGTTGGGCTACTTAGAGAATTTTCTCGTTTTTTTTTTTTCAGAATTAAGTTAATTAAGATAAATTAAGAATTAAGATAAAATGTTTTTATTCTACTTCATAAAAATGCTATAAGACTTGAAGGCTATTTAATTCCCAGATTATTGCCATGTGTATCAACATTTACACATGTATGCCTTTAAAGCACCAGTACATACCTGCCAGACTGTTGTAACACTCCAGCTCAGCATTCTCCATGGCGCCTTTCTGTTCATCCGTGAGCGTGTTGTTGGACTTGGTGAAGGCGGTGAGCAGCGAGGACGGGGACTTAGGGCCACTATCCGGGTCCCCGAGCACCCTGCACAGCCCTTTGATCTCCAGCAGCGCACGGTGGTACTTGCCTATCGCCTCTCGGTATTTCTTATCCTTGTAACACTGTGTACCCTGGCTTTTGAAGTCCAACGCCCGCCTCACGACATCCGCGGGCTCGTTGCAGGACGGCTGTTTGACCATGGACCCTCCGTGGTGCCTCTGCTGCTGCTGCTGTTGAAGCTGGAAGCGGGCATCTTTGGTCCGGCTGGTGCTGAGTGGAGGCTGCGCGCTCGGAGCCTGGAGCCTCGGGGAACCAATGCTATTCTCGTTCATCCCGTTCTTGTCCGCCTCTTTCCCTGGTTGAATCACGCTCATCTTCGACATTATTACCGCGCGGTAGCTGCCCTGTTGTCCGATTACTGTTGAAATGGAAGATAATAAAGCTAATTCACAGCATCCTTTGGGTCATCGTTGTGCTTTCGCCTCGTCAGTGTCGCAGCTACGTCCTCCTGGTAATGCACGCTCTATCGCAGCCTATTCTAGTATGATCGCGTTCTCCAGAGCTGATTGGTCTAAAAATGCAGGGCCAGTTGTCCCTTGGGGTGCTCTGGCAAAGACGCAATCATTTATGAGTAATGCAATAATCTCTACAAAAAGATGGGTGGACTAATAATTTATTTTTTTAAAATCGTGACAAATTGAAATTTTCAGACAAGTAACTGAAGGTTATTTTATTCTCAAAAAAATAACAGATTTACAAGATTATAGGGTATACCGTTTATTAGCCTTTAAGACAATGATTAAACTGGCAACTATAGGGCCTGTACCATCTTATTCAGTTCAAATCCAACAGGCTTACACAAAACCTGGCAACTCAAAACAAATAGCCTTTGTCCATCCATGTCCACCATTGCCCTCTGGCCTAAGGCCATAAGACCTCATTTAAATAGATAGGCCTAAATAAATAAATAAATAAATAGAACAAAAATAAAAATAAAATAAATAATACACTATATACCAAATTAATTACAAATTTGATTTCAGAGTCATTATACTTTTTTCAAGAGGGGGGAACATTCCCAAAGCACAGATGGTGGTTTCCTTCACTGTTACACAGAGACTGACCCATGTTTGGCCTCTGTGTCTGCCATCTGCTTCAGCTGAAGAATTCTTTGAAAGAATGTTAGATCATCATGATATAATTTAAAAAATGTATAATCTTCAGTCCTAATTTAGATATTTAAACTATGCCTACTTATTTTAAACAGTGTTATACTTAAGACAATGTAACTGGACAATTGAATGAATGCCTGCTTTCAGTACAGAAATGATAAGGTCACAGTACAATATTCTGAATTCCATAAAGATTCTTTATAGTAGGTCTGCATTTCTTAAAACAGAGACTAAATCAAATCCACTGCCTATGTTACTTATATTTGAAGTAGTGCAGTGTTCATGTACAGTAATGACCAGAGACAGGCACTTGGCTCAAATGACATAATCTCCTCAAGTCTCTGGAGAGTTGCTTTCAATCTGCCGTTCTGATCTGAAATTAGAGGAATGCATTCACCTCCAGCCAGATCTGTCCGATAAACACCAAGCTGCCTGCACTATCTTGTCTCATAGACTTCTGTTTATCCCCATTATCCCCATGACGCTCCATATGTCAGTATTGTGTTCTGTTCTCTGCATTACCTTATGTTTTTTTTTTTTTTTTGTCATGCTGCTGGAGCCTGCATTTTCAACACTATTATATTACTCAATCATATATAATCCAGTTATTGCAATGGATTGACACAGGCTAAACAATGCAGCATTGAGCTGCAAAGATGGAAAGTATAGTGATAACTTTAACCACTAAACATGACTTCAGTAATACCAATGTTTCCCATTAAGAAAACGTGAACAATAAATATAGAAGAAATAGCCTAACCGGCATTTTTACCATGGCCTGTAGGTGCCACTAGCCTCAAATTAAATATACAATGACCGGACAAAACAATGATAGGACTACTCAGCACTCAGCAATGTCAATTAATTGGATTATTCATTACTTCTTCTTTTGCAATATTATTTATTTCCGCATTTTAGGTACCATCATCATGTGCTGGTGTTTTGTGCATGTGCTGGTGTTTTTGCCCATTTGTCCAGTCATAGTCATGGGGCAGTGGACTCAGCTGTTTGTCTGGGTGTGTCTCTGGAATGTCTCCTCTGTAAAACATATGCGTCTGTCCAGAAATAAAAATAACACACCGTAAATCAAATAACATCAATGTGCAATAACTTATTTATCTTCATAATGTATGCTATTTTGTTATTTGCTTTACATTCTAATTCTGTAACTACAAACAACATGTTTTGTTAAGTATAATGAATAATTAATAGTAATAATAATATAGAAAACTACAAAAAACTATAAACAAGCAAACAAAAAATATTTTTCTTAATGCATACGCAATCAATCGACGACAAGAACAACATTCTCTACGTCATCAATATGAGTCTAAGTTTACATCATGGCGTCGGTAGATTTCCGAGGTAGAACTTTTTAAACTAGTCATCTCATCGTTACTAATTTTGGCCATATTTTGTGCTTGCTAATAGCAAAGTGCTTTCTATCACGTAGTAGCGTTCATAAGCTATGGGCATTATTAGGTTAGCTGAATAATACACCTTTTTTTTCTTTGACATTAGCCACTGGAGCTAACTGTAGCATCTCGGGAGCGCCTGTCACGTCTTTGCTCGCTTAAAAAGACTGAATTATTGTTACACAGATCCATTGCTGCACTAAATATGTCTTCTGCAGAAAACCTTCTTGGTATTTCGTGGGTGGACAGTGGTTGGGTGCCTATCCTTAACCCTGGAAATGTACTGGACTATTTCTCTGAAAGGAGTAACCCTTTCTATGACAGAACCTGTAACAATGAGGTAGTGAAGATGCAAAGACTAACCCTGGAACATCTCAAGTGAGTTACCTTAGATTTTAGTTAATAATTTAAAGGGGATACTGTGTGTATGTGTGTGTGTTTTAATAATAATCAGTCTTTTTGTGATCAACAGTGTTCATATTATGATCTAATGTCACTGTGCTTTACTTTAAATGTTTTTTTAATGTACAACTGCTCTGCTTGGCCCTTTGGAGATTAATAAAGGGTTATTAAATTAAGAAAATAAAAATATTTTGTATTTTCAGCCAAATGGTTGGAGTGGAGTACATTCTTTTACATGCCCAGGAACCTATTCTTTATATCATTAGAAAACAGCAGAGACAGTCTCCCACACAAGGTAAGACACATGCACTAAATAAACTGAAAATGTAATAACACAGATATAAACCTCTGGAATATGGTAATTGCTGTGAAACTGAATGATACCTTTTACTTGGTGGAGTCTTCTGGTGAAGAGCACAGTATTCATGAAATGTTAGCGAGAGTATGGCCTCAATTTGCACTACCACGTGTACTGCAAGTTGTAATTCAGCTAATATCATTAAGTATCACCTGCACACCTCAGTATTGTGCAGTACTGTATTGTAGCATTTTTATAATGTTGCCATAAATTGTACTGTTGGTCCAATACCGTTTCATGATTGTAATGATCATGTATTGTGGATCTGGAAATTGCTGCCATCTATATTTAACTTTGTGCTTATATTTCAGTTATTCCTTTGGCTGACTACTACATCATAGCTGGAGTCGTGTACCAGGCTCCAGACCTGGGGACAGTTATCAGTTCTAGAGTGGTAAGCATTAGAACGTATTAAACATTAATTAAATTTTTACTTTTCTGTCCTTCTGACTGCTGGCGTTTTGTTTTCTGTATACAAACTGTATTTTCCAGCTATCTGCAGTTCATGGTATTCAGTCTGCATTTGATGAGGCCATGTCTTACTGCCGCTATCACCCTTCAAAAGGTTATTGGTGGCATTTCAAAGACCAGGAGGAAAGAGGTATGGGGTCTGTTATGGCTTTGATTTGACTTATTGTATAGAATATAATGAATGATCAGTGTTGATTGTCCCAAAATAGAAAAGACCAAACCAAAATCAAAGAAAAAAGAAGAACCAAGCTCATTGTTCCAGAGGCATCGGGTTGACACACTCCTGTTAGATCTGAGATCAAAATTTCCACCAACATTTTACCAGGTGAGTTTTTATCTGTTTTTTTTACACATATTTTTATATAAACTTTTTTCACATTAAACCAGAAATGACGTAACATTGTTTTTGTTTTGCAGCCCAAACCCGGTGAAAAGCCAATTCCAGGTATAATCTACTTTTTTATATATTTTTGGGCATGTAGCTTATTCCATATCTTATTAATTTAGTACCAGGATATTGTAAACTATGCTAATTAAGTTTATTTAACTTATTTAGTGTCACGCATCATCTGAGAGTTGCTCAGTCCGCTGTGATTAATACAACACTTAATATAACAATAACCTGATAGATTTTACAATATTAAATCAAACATAAAGTGTCCTCTTTAGATAAAACATTCTAAGAAGTCTATTAGCTTATATGATTAGGATACTAGTTTAACTGGCTCTGATCTTTATTCAGTCTGTTTTGCTTTCCATTACAGTTGAGGTAAAGAAAGAGCCTGAACCTCCAGCTGAAACTGTCAAACAGGAGGAAAGGGAACCAGCTACAAAATCCTCTGCTCCATCAGCTCCCCCAAGTAAACCACCACCAGAGAAACGAGCCAGACTCCAGTGATCTACACTTGTGTCACTGAGTTCAAAATAGATTACATAAATAAAAATGTAATGAAATACCCTACCAGTGAAGGGACGGGCTCTTCACCCAGAACTAAGGATCTACTCAAATTACCATAAATAGTGGCTCAAATTAACCACAGAATTTTTAAGATTCCTGAATGCATCATCACGTGGATTCATTCTTCTCAGTTTACAAAATGCAAAAATTGAACTTAAGGATACTGGCTATTAGTAACACCACAGGTGAAAATATATTGTAATGAACACGGGTTAAAGCATTGTTCTTTGCAGCAGCCATTTTACCCTGTATGCAAAGGATGAGGCTGCTTAGGCTGACACAGCATCACTATCAGTTTACGGTCGACCTCAGCATTCTTATGCGGGTACCTCTTTGTTATTAGCCTCCTTCAGGATAATGACAAAAGATGTTAAAAAGATTAAGGTTTTCTTCTTTACACATGTATACTTTACCATTTATTTCTTTGTCTGTTTTTTATGTTTTGTAGTAAAATATATCAACTCATAAATGTTGATGCTTTATAACATGTCTTGACTCAGTTCTTAACATGCATTTAAACTTAACTGGGAAAAAAGGGAGAAAAAATAGTTGTGCAAACTGTTTTCTGATGTTTTATCATTTTTTAACTGTTAAGTATATTGCTAATAGTCACCAAGGTGTTTAAATAGTAAATATAACATTTATTATAGATATATTCAAAATATATGTGGATTTCTGAGGGGGTTATGACCTGTAACTTAGAACTGTAATAACCCTATGCAATGTATACAGTAATTTCTGAATGAACTGTGCTGTCTAAATATCCTTCTCCAATGTAGTTCAACCTGTTGAAGGCAATTGCAGCTATTGTTAAAATGTACTATGAGGGGTTATTTGCGGTTAATGTCCCCCTCTTCAGTCAAGACACTGAAATGGTCACAAGGGGTCGCTGTCTGATTAAATTTGACACTGTTTCTAATTGTTTTAATGCAACTCACAGTCAGAGCAGCGCGAGGTCATGTTCAGGTCATACACTTTGGAGCGTCTCTGTAAATAAATATAGACAAAGAAATGTAAAAAGGGATAGCAGATATCAAATTACAGCATTTAAAAACAGAATATATTAGCTGCTATCAGGCTACCACAGCTAACCCGAGAAGAAGTTGTTCGCAGGGCGTGGTGGGATAGGAGCAGCTCGGTGGAGGACTACATGGAAACAGTGCCCCAGCTGGCTGCTGCTAGCTGCACACATGAAGATGGCTGCAGAGGGGATTTTCAGGCCAGTGTCTGAAAACAGAGCTCCGTCTGTCATGTTCGCCGTCGACTAGCCAGCGTGTCCCCCCGGTTGATGGTGACTCGGACGGGGATAAAATCAAAACAACATGGGGTCCCAGACTTTACAGATCCTGAGGCAGGGGGTCTGGGCTTCAGTCACAGGCGGATGGTACTACGACCCCGACCAGAACACCTTCGTAAACGCGTTACATCTGTACATCTGGCTGTTCCTGCTATGCTTCCCTTTTACGCTTTACATGGTGAGTGCTGTCTCTCCGTGGATCCGGTTATTATTCCCGTTTTATTATCGTATTTACCGAGGACTGTTGACGGGAGCGCAGGCAGCTGGAGGTTAGCCTGAACGCATGTACGGTCTCGGGCTATTCTCCGGAACGGGGACAATGTAGCGTCCCACCATAAGTGTTTCTGTTATATATTATATTTAAATAATTTGCCAATAACAAATACCTTTTTTGATCTAGTCTTTTGTAACATCAAATCAAAATGACCTATATTATGCACCATATTCTTCTTTATACGTGTCCTATCCAGTTACCAGCTATAAAACCAGAATGCTCTTTTGTTTAGCCTCAACTTCAGATCATCCCCCTTTACGTTTATGCATAAAGCAGCTGTACACGCTATCATCAGTGAATATAATAATACCCTTCCCCCTTATCTGCCCCTTTCTCCTGCCCCTGTGCCTATATAGACCTGTACACTGATTTGCCATATCACCAGCTCTCAGGCGCTACCAGCTGTTATTGAGAAAACCACAGCTCGCCAGGATGTAGCAGGAGGAGACGATAATGTGAAAGATAAAGACTGGCTTTGAAATGTGTTTATCATGTGGAACCGTGTTGTCAAATCCTAAATTGTCCATGATCAAAGTTCACTTTATTTGCTTGCTTGTTTTTGGTATTGAAAGGTAACCCTGTTAAAAAGCACCCCTTGCATTCTTATAGCCTGTATCAGATTTTTGTTTGACTCATTGTAGATTTTTTTTTCATGGTTTAAACAGACTATTATGTTTATATTTCGATATCCTTTCTAGCCCACCCCAAGAGCATTTATTCAATTAAATAATAAAAAAAGAACAGACAGGTTTTCTGGAAATGACATAATACTGGTATGATTAATATGTTGTCATCTAATTATGTTAATTGCAGGCATAATGCCCAAATGTGTGGTACATGATGATGCTATTCAGTGATTACTGCACAATACCTGACAAATTAGTGGCAATGAAAATTCAAACATTCAAAAAGAGAGACTTGTCTGTAACTGATCTTAATGTTTTGCATGCTGGTATCTGCATTTTTAACACTGTTTGAATACGGTTGAACTATAATACAAATATGGTAGGTATAGGAAATAGATGAACGTGCAGCCAAATTAGGAATCAACTTTCTCTTGTTTCAGTTGTTCTTCACTACCTCATTGGTGTAAGCTCTAAGTGTTGTGTTGATTAAAAATAAGTTGGTTGCTCCATTTTCTATCTTTTCTCTCAGATTTTATGTTTTTGACATTGGGGTCTTTGCCCAGTTTGTGTAAGCCAAAAGTCACCTTCTGTGTTATTTATGGCACACTTTTATTGGAACCTGCTATTACATGTATTGCAGAAGAAGTGATATGGGGGTGAATTACAGTGCCTGTCTCTATAAATGCACAGGGGAAGTCATGTGTGTTTGCTAAGCTCACTAACTTCTATATCGAGAGTGAGATGTTTCGTATTGGTCTGTGGTCTTCCCTGCTATTCCGGGAGTGGAAATACATTGGTCAGCTCTGTGGTTTATATAGAGGTTTGTGTGTGATAAACAGATGCAGCGCTGCTCACCTCAAGGACAGGACTGCACATAGGCTGCGTCCACACTAGGGCTGCAATGATCATTGCGATCAAATTGAAATCATTATTTGAATGGTCGGAAACAGCAACTTGCAAATACTGCAATTATTTAAAGGTCCTGTATGATGCAAAATTGACCTTTTAGTTACCTCATCAAAAAGATAGACGGTCTACAACTCCAAAGCTCAAAATGCTCTGTTCTCCCTTCTGATGTCATGAAATAGTAGTTAAAATCAACAGGGTTAAAATGATCTAAATGATTCTAGTGAAAGTGTTTAAAAACACAGTGTAGCTATACTACCACATGACATCACAAGGTGGAACAGAGAACTCCGAATGCCTAAATATGCAGGATGTGTGTGCTAAAGATGTGTGAATGAAACAAAACACAACTCCAGGTATATTTTTGATAAGGAAACAGTATTATAACATAGATCAGAACATAGTGTAATATGGGCCATTTAAATCCTTTGTAATGGTAATCGCAATTTTGAGATTAAAAAAATCATCAAAATTGTGATTAAACCATGACTAAACCAGGATTTAGAACAGGAAAAGGGTTGGTTTAACCCTGGAGGAAATCAGGGTTAAACCAAGTTTGCATCAGGACTAAACTGGGGTTATACCAGGACTAGATCATGACCAAACCAGGATGTAAACAGGATCAAACCAGGTCTACATTAGGACTAAACTCAACCAAACCAGGACTAGACAGAACAAATGTGAACACAGCTATAGAGATAGTACATGTAGTATTGACTTCCTGAAGTATTTGATTCAGGCTGCTAGTCCAGGTAGAACTCTGTATATGTGAGGAAGCATTCAGAATAATTAATGTCAGCTCTTAAAATTACAATACAGTGTTCACAAGCAGTATGATAAAGGCTCATTTGCAGGATCAAAATATGTTTGAGTAACCTTAATCCAGATAATATTGTTTATTGTAGATGATATTGTTTATTGTAAGTCATTGCTTACAAAAACAGAGAAAACAGAGCAGTTCATGAACCAAATGCACACATAAAGCATGCTACAGTGATTATGTCATTATTAATCAACAGTTTGTTTAAGAAGACAAAAATAGGATAATTGAATACATTCTGAAAAGACTTCTGAATAGCTCTACTGCTCTCTATTCCATTTAACAACATCATCAAATGCTTATAAGTATTTTTCCTATCATTTCTAGTGATGCACTGATCTGATACTGGTATCGGATACCGGCATCAATGCTGAAAAAATTGCAGGATCGGATATCAAATTATTGGTTCCACCAATATCCTGGGTGGGGCAAGAAATTGATGTAATCAGACTGTTTACTTTTTGTAGTTGGTCAAGAAAATACCAGAATGCCATAAAATTCCATTTTAATTTTTTATTTATACAGAGTTAATTGTTACTTCAGAGATAAATAACAGCTACATAACACATTAAGATCTGTTTTGTTTTATTTTTACTGAAAAAGATGGAGCGGTGCATCCCTAATAATTTGAAAGCTATGCTATGTGTAATTTGTCATTATACATTCAGGGATTACACCAAATGTACACCAAAAGTATATTTGAATAAAAAATATTCCAGTACCTGATGGCTGCAAGTTAAGCATGCATTGAAATGGTCAGTCTTGGACACCTTAGGCACTTTGCTTGGCCTGCAACACCCACTTCCAATGATAAATACACAGAGATTAAAATGGAGGCCATGCAAAAGGACACCCACATGTCACCTGATGACTAAACAGCATGATCTAATTTCATGTCTTGTAATGATCAGCATATTGCTCAGTCCATGTGAAATCGAATAAATCTCACATTGAAACATTAGCTTGTCTCTAATAAGACATTGTCACTGTGATGTGCACTGAGTAGACAGACCGCTCATTCTCCTGCCGACAGGTGACACCGGCCACACTGGTCCAGGTTTGAGGCTGAACAAAACTTTGTGTTGTTGGAGAAAATGTGGAAAGCTGCTGTCCTGCTGCTCTAAAAATACCAAAGCCCAGTCTGGACCACACTTGACCTATTTATTTCATCAAGTCTTATAACAGAGATTTTTGTAGAATTTCCACCGTGTTCATTTTATTATGACCCACTTTTATACAACCAGTGTTATTTTTGTGCTTTGTACTACAAAGAGTGTGAATAATTGGATGGAATGTTCCACAATATGACGTTAAACAATTCTACCTAAAATTTATTCAATTACATGTGGTTTTATAGCTGAAAAATACCTAGGAAAACAGACATTCTGACTGTGATCTGGCTTGCCTCTCCAAAGATCTCACCTGTAAACGGTCTGGTTTTGTCTCAGTGAAGATAGAAAGCTTTAATGTCATACTGTCAAACATTCCAGACAAAGCAATAGCATCTCTGTAGAAAAAAGCATTTGATGGACCCTCTGTCAGAAAAGTTACTCAATGCACCTTTAAGTCACTATATTCTGAATTTATTACAATTCAAACACTACCCTGAGAGTCAGCTAGTGTAGACAGACATTAAACACTGGTTGCAACTGACTGGACAAATTCATGGTAGTTTTTTTTTTAGGCATGCCATGTGCATTCAGTAATAGACTAAAAGTGGGCATAGTGGTGGCAAACGTTCCCAAAATCTTGCCAAAAACAGCAGAGAGGTTTTAGTAAACAGCATCTGTGAAATACAGATTAAACTATCCAGTACTCCCAAAACTCTAGTTAACAGACTCCATGCATTCCCTCTGTGGGCATAATCCTTATAATCTCAATACAATTTTTGGTTGACTAAAAAAAAAAAAAAATCAACTGAGACATCATTGACTAGACTACAATGACAAGACTACAGCCCGACTACCAAATATTTTGAAATCACTAGTGTAATATTAAATTACACTGATGTAATAAAGGAAGTTGTTTGGTAATTTGTTTATATTGTGAATTTAATAATGCACTCATGTTTTTGAGAGTGCAGACTTGACTAATACAATGTGCTTGATTGTGTAACAATGAAAGGCCAGTCCTGTTTTGTTTGCACATTTAACAGACATCACTCTCTAACTGTGGTACATCAGTCCTGAGCAGTTCAAGATTTGATTTAACTTTATGAAAGGTCCTATATTACGCAAAATGGTCTCTTGTGAGCTTTAAGACAAGTTATAATATTGTTACCTTCTCTAAAACATACCAGAGTTGTGTTTTGTTTCACTCACACATGTTTGAGTATACCTTTTATTTTCAATTCGTCTACATGTCCAAAGCTCATAATGCTTTGTTCCACCTTGTGATGTCATGTAGAAGTTGTTTTCAAGTTAACAGCTACCTTTTACCCTTAGTTCAATAGAGACTGACAATTCCAGAGCTGAAATGAACAAAATGATTCTAGTGAAAGTGTATAGAGTTTGTTTAAAAACACAATGCAGCACTTCCTGTATTATTACATGACATCACAAGGTGGAACAGAGTTTTTCCCGTTTTCATAAATATGGAGAAACAAAACAAAATTCCATGTATGTTTGTGATGAGGAAACAACATTATAACATAGAACAGAAAATAACGTAATATGGCCCTTTTAAGATCAGATTTATTCTGGTTTAGTGTATAGATTTGGACCTGAAATTTAAGTTAACCAATTTCTTGACAGGACTCATTTATGCACCTTAAGTTAAAAACTTAAGCAAGTAAATTTTTCCACTATGAGTTTAAATATGTCAAAACAAAATATTATCAAATATTTTATATGATGTGGTACTTCATATAAAATGTTTGAGAGTCATAGAAAACAACTAATAGCCTAGTATTGTTATTCCAAACATAAGGTATATTTAAGTGCATGTTTCTCTGTGTGTAACCCAGGCCCTGCCACCCACCATGGTGATAGTGGGCATCTACTGCGGAGTAATCGCTGGCATGTTTCTGCTGCTGAAGACCGTGAACTACCGCCTCCACCACGCGCTGGACGAGGGGGAGGTAGTGGAACGCAAGGCCAAAGAGAACCAGTCCAACAGCAGAGGAGCCACAACCGGACCCAATGACAGCGCCCCCCGCAGGCAGGACGGCAGTGGGCCTGGGTGAGTCAAGCTGAACAGAGAGAGGGGGACAGAGAGACAGACGGAGTGAGACAGGGAGAGACAGAGAGAGACAGAGAAAGACAGAGGGAGAGACGGGTAGACACGGAAAGAAATAGGCAAAGAGAAAGACAGAGAGAGACAGACGCAGAGAGAGATGTAGACAGAGAGAGAGGGAGATGGAGAGATACATCAGTGACGGAAGTGACAAATGAAGTAAATGCTGTGTGACTCGTAGGCAGCAGCGGTGACCTAGGAAAGAGGGAGTAGGACTGAGTGGGAAGAACAGTGGTTATGGAGCAGTGATGTGGGTATTTTGTGGTATGTCTTGTTCTCTTGAAGTCGGGATATCAAAAGAAACATGTCATAATTCAAAAAAGGATTTAACTGGTACTTTGGGTGAAGGGCTGAACAGTTTTGGAAACATTTATCTGATGATGATGTTCCTGTTTGATTTGTTTATTGTTTGGTTAATCTGTTAAAGGTCATAAGTTACAAAAAATGTACTTTACTTACAAAATTTGTGAGCATTAAAACATGTTATAATGTTTTTACCTCATCAAAAACATACTTGGAGTTGTGTTTTGATTCATTCACACATGATTAATTAATCATTTATTATTAGTCTGTTGACATCACAAGGTGGAACTGAGTATTTTGAGCTTTGGGTTTCTAATTTAGTGGTAGTTTTCAAGTTAACTGAAATTGTTTACCTTTAGTTCAGTAGAGATTGCCAGTTCCAGGGCTGAAATTATCCAAATGATTCTAGTGAAGGTGTATGGAGTTTGAAAACACAGTGGAGCGCTTCCTGTTTTACCACATGACATCACAAGTTGGAGCAGAGGGTTTTCTATTTGAGAGAAGAACTCAACATAAATATGCAGGATTTGTGGGTTAACCTGGCATCTGCTTTTCTCCATGTGTCATTGCTTTGCCTGGAATGTCCCACAATTTGGTTTATCTGTCTTGTGCAAATTTATTCAATTAAAAGTGTTTTTGTTACATAAATACATAACATACAAACATACATACATAAATACAAAACACATACAAAACACCTCTCCTCAGATCAGAGGATCCCCAGATCCTCTAACTTGGCATGGTGGTGCCGCCATTTGCCTGTCTCTATGGAAATGAACAAGCTATATTATTGTGGAACTTTCTAAGCAATGCAATAACATCTCCATGGACCCTCCACCTGAAAAGTTACAAAGTGCACCTTTTAACTTGGCATTTGCTTAAATTTTGTCTTGTATAGGCATGATGATGATGCTGATAATTTGGCTTTAAGTACCTGACAGTAGGGCAGAGACTTAACAAAGTACAACTATAACTTATTTCCTTTGAATTTACAGCATATGGTACCACAATATATATCCAAATTATTTTCTAACTGTTATTTACCATTATAAGTACTTATAGAATAACAGAACAAATATTACAAGGTGTCTGGGGAAACACTGTCCAGTTATTGTCTTATTACACAAATGTGTAGGCCAAACTAGGATATCGACTGAACTGATATCGACTGAACGATATCAAAATTTAATATCTGTATCCTGTCAGTGCATGCCTAGTTTTATATTGTCCATGTTTAGTCCATATCTATGTATTGTATGGAATAAATGCTCATGTTGTTTTCATTAAGCTTCACTGGATGCCTTCTGAAAGGTCAAGTCAAACCGTAATTCATTCTCACTGTAAGAGCCAGCATTCATGTTATGTTATTGTTAATGACGCATATGTGGTAATATAAAACAATGGTCCATTATCTTGTATGTTTCTATGTGGCGGGTCTGTGTCCTGTTTTTAGAAAGTGCTGAGGTCTTATCCAGCCTGAAGAAATGCCACTAAGTTTCCAGGTTTTTATTGCCCGTGAGTTAAATAAGTGACTCATACTGACATTCCAGTGAGAGTGTTTAGCAGGACCCTGAGAGCCGAAGAACGAGGCCAGTAGCTCTGCACACCACAGCACTGCTCTGGAAAACATGTAACATTCACTGTACCATCAAAATTGTCCAAGGGTGCATTCACACTTTCTTGGTTTAAGCCCAGTTAAAGGTCCTATATTGCACAAAACTGACTCTAGCCATGTCAGAATGTTACTGCATCAAAAACATACCTGGAGTTGAGTTTGTTTTATTCACACATGTTTGAGTGACCCTTTATTATTAGTCTGTCTGTATCTCTAAAGCTCCAAATGCTCCGTTCCACCTTGTGATGTCTAGATGTGGTAGTTTTCAGCTACCTTGTACCTTTTGTCCAGTAGAGATTGGCAGTTCCAGGGCTGAAATTACCCAAATGATTCTAGTGAAGGTGTATGGAGTTTGAAAGTGTGGAACACATCCTGTAGAACCACATGATTTACAAGGTGGAACAGAGTGTTTTCAGTTTGACAAAAGAACACAGCTTAATACACAGGGTTTGTGTTAAACATGTGTAAATGAATCAAATATAGCTTCAGTTATGTTTTGATGAGGAAACTACATTAGAGCATAGATTGATAGAACAGCGTAATATGGGCTCTTTACGTCCTGTTGTAGATTTAGTTTAGTCCTGTTCTAGTTCAGGTTTAGTTGTGATTTAGTCCAGGTTTATTCCAGTATCACACATGGTGTGTGTGCAAGTGTGAGCACAAGTATCAGTGTATTTACCTAGAAGCACACTGCAGACCTGTGGTTCTAAAACTATTCAAGAGCACCTCAAAAACATTACACTTTCCAAGTACCACCAGAGATACACCAAGTTCTAATCTTGACTAAACCAGGTCTGACTGGAATAGAACTAAATGAACTAAATAAACCAAGGCAAGTCCCAACTAAAATATGAATTATTGTTATTGTTGTCTTGTTAAAAATATATTGGCAAGTTGTTGGAAATCACACAATTAGGCTGCAAAAACTAAAAGTTAAAATATTTAACTGCATAATCCATACCTCAAATCTCTTAATTTTAGATCTTGTAAGCCATGTTTACTAGGGCTGGGAATCGCAGGGTCCCTCACAATTTGATAGGGTGATACATGTTACATATTGCTGTTTTTTAAGAACCAAATAAATTTTAGCAAAACAGTCGTTGTGCAGAGTTAATATAAAAGATATTTCTATTTTAATGATCAAAACGGTGAATATGCCAAGTATATTGCATAAACGTCATCACAAAAAAGATACCAAAAAGTACTCTTGCCAGTATATTGATACAGCAGCCCACGATAATGATACTCTATCACCAAATTTAGTATTACGATATATCACTGTTTTGATATTTTTTCACACCTTAACTGTTTGTTCAATGCGCTGATAATTTTAATAGCTTTTATAAGAGAGGATTGTAATAAGAAGTGCTAAAATACATCTTATAAGCAGAAAGCCCACCACATAGCATCTTGAGAACCAGTGTAGGTTGCTATAGTGTACAGTGAAGCGGAAAAGTCAAGCTGAAATTGATTAAGGTGCTTCTATCCACCCACTCTTTGCCCCTTTTCCATTCGTCTGCGTTTCTGTGCAGCTCAATGCCGGCTTTGTTTGTTTTGTGGCTTGAACCGTTATGAAAAATGTGTGGCATATGGAAATGATTTATAGAAAATCCCTGGAAACTTGTTTGTTCCAACATAGTGACTGGTTAAACAGGCTGAGGCTAAATATAGACTCTGGGTGAATCTCCCAGGACTGAGACACTGGTCTGTTTTTGCCATTTCAAAGCTAGATTAACATAAATGTGGACATGTTTCATAAAGTTTTGTCAATGAGTAAGATATACTGACGTAATATTATAAACACCACACAATAAAACCATTAATCTCCTAGTAAACATTTCCTGGGATAGTCTCCAGGCCCTGTGCTGATAAATGCTGTTGAGTAATAGTATTTTTTTCCTGGATGACAGATATTTATTTTTCTTATAATATAAATTAACAATAAAACATTACAAGTATTTACATTTTCACTGTTATGTTGGATGATTGATTTCAGATTTATCACTTAAAACCCTATCTATCTTTTTTGCCAAAACCTTTTACTAAAATAAAACAAGTTTGTTTCAATTTGGTTGTGTTTCTTGCACTGAAAAAGAGACAAGCATACATCCTTACTCTGAGTGGGCTTGCATCTCCACAGACTTGACACTTATGTGCTTCTCCTGCTTGTATCCATGTCTATACTCTTCCACTGTAGGACATAAGACTTGCTCTGTAATATGGTTTTACATTTTAACTTTTTATTTCCAGTAATTACATAATGTACCTTTTAAAAAACTCTTATTGGATGATAAGTTTTTAAAGACCCACAGTTTAAGCAGTTAAACTTGTATATTTGTTATTTTTTGCTTACATAGGAGGTCATCATTTTGGTGTAATAAAAGTATTTAAATGTTTTTTTGCAGGGATCCTGGTGGGGGGATCGAGATGGCAGATTTTATAAGACAGGAAACGCCACCTGTGGATTGCAGCTCCAGAAACTCCTATATTGGAATGGACTCAAACCAGCAGGTAAGGGAATGTTAATGAGGTATACAGCAGTGCCTTGCCATAAAGCACAAAGATCTGAGGTTCAATTCTCAGGCTGTTTGTGGAATTTGAGTTGGGTGTTCTTGTTTTTATAATGAACAATTGGCTGCAGCTTCGTACCCCTAACCAAAATCCTTGAATAGCACTGGTCCATAGATTGCCAAACAGAAAGGACAATTTACAGGACAGTTTAATGTGAATGTACTGAAATAGGGGTTTAATAGTCCATTTGTGACCCACTTTCAAATGCCTTAAAGTTTAGGTTTCCTTTACATTTCATTGTTACTAAAATGGTTTCATAGTCTTTTCCAAGTTCAGCATGCTCAGTGGGAGGTTGCTCTCTGCAGTGTTGTGATTGGCACAATGTAGATCCAAATGTTTTTCTTGTTTACAGACGATTGGTCAGCATCTTGGAAACCCCAGTGCACTTAAAGTGGGTTATTTTAAGAGTAGAGGAACTGCGGTCTTTATGTTACTTTGTATAACTTTTCCAGAGTAAATATTTTAGCCTTTGGGACCCTATGCATTTTGCATGAACAAAATGAAGAAAACCAAACTATGTGAAAGTATACAGGGAAGTCTTATTTATTTACAGTCTCATGACATTGGCTTCTTTCTTCACTTAGTAAATTGTTAATAATTGACCAGTAGAGAACAATTTGACTGAATTTTAGCTTTAGTAAGTGAATGATGAAAATCCTATGAATTTTCTTGCTGGTTACATTGTTACATTCCTATATAAACAACCATGTATTTAACACTTTTGTTATCTTTTGAGGCTATAATGGCAACAAAATATAAAAAATTGTTTGTTATTAAGGGAAAGTATTTGGACGCAGTAGCTCACACAGTAGTAATATAGAAAGATAAGGATTGTGGCAAATAAGGTACACATATACAGATTTGTATAAGTACATTTAATTTTCAGCCTTGCACTTTTCTGTCACTAGATTTGAGTTCTGACAGCTTATTTTCCTTTTCCTCTTGCATACTTACCTTGACTGCAGGTTTGAGTTTCTTATGTGAAGTGTAAAACCTATTTGGGAGAGAGTGTCTTCATTAGCATGATGCTCACACTACCGGCTGTCAGCAGATTGCTTCTTTAATATTCAGAGTTATTTAGCGGTGCGATTCGACTGGATAAATTTAACCGCCAAAACCCCACGAGGGCCTTTGTACAGTGTGTCCTTGTGCCACTGACTTCTGCTCAGCTCTTCTCTGGTGAAAAAGTAAAAAGAAGGCACAAACTTTTCAGAGATTTCTATGATGGCGACTGCACTTGAACTGATTTTGTTGTGTTCAGTCATCTCGACATTTAGTCCTGTGAGGGAAGTGGGCTGTTTGATTTGATGAAACACTCAAAGATAAGTGCTTTGACAAGTGTCTCTGTCTAACTTTCAGATTATATCCACTCACGGAAGAGCAACAATCAGCAAAGGTAATTTATTTGCAACTTTTATGAAGTCACGTCAAGAAATAAAAATACACTTTTTTGTACACTATATTTTCTTTTACTTTTTTTATAAGTTGTAGTTTGAGTTACAGTCACCATAATACAAAGCCAACATTATAAAGATGTGTCAATTTAAGTTACAAGGTACAAGGTACACTATATAGGTGGAGGGTCTGTCACCTTCTTCTAAAATGTTCCACAGTATATTGCACCAGGCCATGTTGCAGGTCAGATCTATAGAGAGACAAGCCTGCCCACAGTGAAAAAATCTTTCTCAATATATTTTTGAGCATTAAAGCATCTGTAATTAAATATATGTAAGATAGATACTTTAATGCCATACAGTGGAATATTCCAGGCAAAGCCATAACATCTGGAGACGTGAATAATGTGACCCACCAGAAAAGTTACATACTGCACCAAATCCTAGAAGACCCATGACTATATATGGAAAAAATGTCTATTTTTAAACTCAATCTTGTCATAGGCAGTTGTGTTCTGACTCAGCCCTGACCCGAGTTTCTGGGATCATCTTTTTGACAGACACTACTGAGCTGAGAAATGCAGCTCTGTTGGACCACATGTCATATTTTAGACCAGGGACAATTGAACTTTATGTTGAAGAGAGGTGGCTGTGTTGTGTGAATAATTTAGAGACTGCATTCAGACTTCTCCCAATTAGCTGTCTGCTCTGACAGGAAACAGTGAGAATGTAGTGGAAAAGAGCTTTACTGTGGATTACACTTTTAATACTCCTCCAACACCAGCACCTTATTTAAACACAGCATCTTCAAAAAGAATAGTCAGGCTGCTATGAACCTGTTTGAAATGTTCCAGGGTTATCTTAAAATTGTTTCTTACACCATATATTATTGCACCCCATTCTCTTTGATATTGTTAAGCACAACTTTATAACAACCATTAGTCTTCCAGACCAGCCTTCAGGTTCATGCTGGTGCAGCTGTGAGTTTATAGAGACCAGGCACTTGTTCACAGAGGCACTGGTGGTAAAGGCCTAAATAATTGATCAGCTCTGTCATGCCTTTATTGGTTGTTTCAATCTTCACAGGAGATGCGGGAAAGACGGACGACATCAGTCTGACGCTGGTGGAAAGCTGCAGCCACGATCACGGTAAATAAACGTGTTTATTTCACATAAACACATTATTTGTCTGTCTCAAACAGCACTTTACAGTTTCCTCCTCTGTCCCTCAGATCTGCTGTCAGACACAAAGATGTACTGCCTTGTTCCAAACGACTCCTTTGCCTCACTGCAGCCCTCCACATCCCTGTGCCCCTCAGAAGTGTCCCGGGACCCCGCAGACCCCTGCTCCTCTGCTGCTTTCCACTTCAGCCTCTCTCACTCGTCCTGCGACACAGAGGCTCTTCACCTCTCACAAACTTTCAGGAAAGAGCTCCGATCTCGAGGTTTGCCTCGGACCTCCAGTTCAGCAGGCTCAGCTTTTCCTGACCCTTCTCTGCCAGACCTCAGTCTGTACCTGGCCCCGCGGAGGGGCCTGGACCCTGTGTGTGAGCTGGAGGCTGCACGGCCGCACAGGACTGGTCTGTGTGACACAGACAGACTGTACCAGCAGGAGCCCGCTGTGGCCTCCACGTCAGGACTAGACTGTTACAGGCACAAAGAGCCCCGCAGAGTGGCCCGCTCGGCCTCCCGAGAGGCTGGCGAGGGTAGCTCGGGGTTGTATCAGGGTGATATAGGGGGCAAACATTTGAGTGGAGGGAAGTCCCATCGAGGAGAGCGCAGCGCGGACAGTCTGAGGAGCCTGAGCACTCGGAGCAGCGGCTCCACCGAGAGTTACTGCAGTGGCACAGATAGAGACACCAACAGCACCGTCAGCAGCTTCCACTCAGAGCAGACCAGCTCCACTCACGTGGAGAGCCTGCTCTCTCTGTCTGGGGATGAACGCGTGCGGGACAGAGCCGACGCCTCTGTCCCAGGAGGAAGGACTTCTAGTCTGGGTAATATTAGCTCACGAGGCCTCAGCAGAGAGGCCAATAAAAACCCACACGCTAATGAGCTACCAGAGGCCCAGGAGCGCGCTGACTCTATCCCATCTCAGGACGAGCCTGGGGTCAGGACCAGTGCGGACGGCTCCACTGCTGGGGCTGAACAGGAACACAGTAAAGACAAAACTCAACCAAAGTCAAGCAATGTTCAAAGGACTTCCTCTCTGTCTGCGGGTCGGAGTGGGCGCAGACGGACAGGTAAAAAGAGGGCGAGCAGTTTTGATGCTAGCCGCCACAGAGACTACATGTCGATGCGGGGCGTAGTCAAACCCTGCAGTGCTGTGTTCACTGGAGCTGGAGAGGAGGACTCCAGTGACCACAGCGAACTGAGCTGTGCCTCCAGTCGGCGCTCACACCATCTGAGCACAGACAGCTCCTCCAGCAACACGTCCCACTCCTGCCACTCCCCCGAGGGGCGCTATCGAGCCCTCAAAGCCAAGCACAGCGCAGCGCGGGGCCCATCCAAAGGGAAGGCAGCTGCAGGATCAGAGGTGAGTGCAAAGAGGCGCACCTCACGGCGCACCCTCAGCACGGGCAGTGCCAAAACTCATGCCCGAGTGCTGAGTTTGGACAGTGGGACAGCCGCCTGCCTTAATGACCCTACACGCCTGGCTCCAGCTGGGCCCCGCCCCCTCACCACCTCAAAGTCTGACCTGGAAGCCAAAGAAGGAGAGGTACTGGATGCGGCCTCTCTATTGGGACGCGCCTCTCAGCTGGAGTCTGTGACGCGCTCTAGGAACAGCCTGCCAAACCAGAGCCTTGCGGAGCCCCAGGACGCTGCAAGTGCTTCTCTGAGAGGTACGTGCCACACACTGTCCTACACCAATGGCCTCTGTTGCTCTGTTGTGATGTTGTTCAGGAGATGCACAGCAGTCACATTAGTGGTTATAATATGCTTAACAGTTTACATGTTTTCTTAGTGAGCATGACAGATTGGATTGTGGTTTAGCTGGTGGCTGCTGTATTTGGGGTAACCATGGTGTAACTATGGAGCGTTACCATGGAGTGACAGGCCTGACCCAGTGTGCTGCGTGTGTGACTGTTACCATCATGGACACTGTGTGCTTTGTGCTGAGGTTAGACAAACAGCTGCTCTCTTATTAGAGCTGTAGTGCATCCATAGCACACATTCTTGAAGTCTATAGCCAGGATTTCCTCTGGATTCATATTGACCTACTTATTTGTGCCTGGTAATACCTGTGCATGATGGTACTCACCTAATACTACATGTTGGCTTTTTAATAAATCAGAAATATTTGGTTTGGAATATGCACTTTGAATTGTGTATTGTACCGATTTTAAATGTTTTTTTGAATCTTGGTTCTTTGTAAAGCAATGAGTAAGGTGAAACGATTTCATGTGGAGATTATTTACAGAATTCAGAGAAAATTTTTCTTTTTTAATAACCTAGTATTTCACCATTTTTGGTCCTAAAATTTAATTTCTGAACTTGGCGTACTTTGTTTTGTTTCTTTTAAGTAATTTTTTTTTTCATTTTTTTTTTTTCTGGTAGCTTGTATGTGTTCCTGTCTAACTAGCGGCTAATATTGCTGACAAATAACCACAAAGGACATTAACTCATGGGCTGCTTGGTGAAAGCAATAAACCTATAACCCAAGGATATTTTATATAATTAGAAATGCCATAATAATTAGATTTATTTGGAGCATCATATCTCATGTTATTTGGAAACCTGATTTGAATATTATGATAACAGCAGCTAGACATCCATAATATATGTTTGAAGTTTTATTTATGAAAAATAATTGTATCTGCAAAGTGAAGATGAACTTTCTTCAGATTATTACTAATCCAGGACTAATTTCAGCAAGTATTGTATTTTGCAAAGATGATATGAATGGCAATTGTGTGCAAATGTTAAATCAGGTTTGTCATCTTAAAGGTTCACTGTGTAACATTTCTGGTGGAGGGTACGCGAACTGCTTGTTTCCATGGAGATGTCTTAGCTTTCTTTAGATTTTCTACCACTTTGCATTAAATGTATACATTTCCAAGGAAGTGAGGCCAGGCCAAGTTACAGGTCAGATCTGTGGAGACTGAGCTGACAAGGAAAACACATGCTTTTATGGCATTTTTAAGCAATAAAAATACTTGTAATTTACTAAATGTAATATAGATACGTTTTATGGCATAGCAGTAACATCTCTATGGAGACATTCAGTTGGTGGATCCTCTACCTGAAAAGATGCATGGTGTTCCTTTAAATGCTTTCTTTTAAATCTTGGTAAAACTATACAGAAAATTTGAACATACCTTCTTCTGACATATACATAGTATGAGCCACTGAAAGACGCTTGTAGTTACACACTGACTTTGTTCGTGTGTCTGTCACTGCACCAGCCCAGGGCAGCGAGGAGACAGTGGTATTTCGTCGTGAGCGTAGCACGTTTCGTCGGCAGGCTGTCCGAAGGCGTCACAATGCAGGCAGTAACCCCACGCCCCCCTCGTCTCTGATTGGATCCCCTCTCAGGTAAACCCTGCATGGAGCCTGGGATGCCTGGTGTGAGCATGCTGCCAGATGGACAACTACCACCTTTATTTTCTTTTAAACTTTATCTTTATCCCTTCCATCGCTGTGGTCCGGTTTGAGACTTTGCTCATGCATACTGGGGCTTTGTGGAGCTTATTCTGCTCTCTGGACAGATCTTATTTCCTCCATTTTTTTCAATATTCATTCTTTTTTCATCTTCATCTTAAGACTTTCTTTTTAACAGTGGTTGACTAATTTTGTGGCCTTCTCTTGCATGGTTTGCTGATTATCATAACAGACATGTTATTTTTTTAGTAAAATTTGCACCAAATATGTAAAAGAAATGTTGATTCCAGATTGTCCTTCTCGTTTTAGCAGCACAATATGAACCTGTTTTCCACAAGCAAAAAGACAAACATTTCTAAATCTGAATATGGTCCAGCATCAATGTTAACTAGAGTCCAAATACAAGAATTCTAATGGCACTCCCCTCTCTGTAAAATACATAAAGTTTCAAAGTTTAAATTACTAAACCTACACTGCACCCTCTGAGGTCTGATGATCGTCTCTGGCCAAGACTCACTGAAGTTTCTGATCAAGGTCTTAACCAACAAATTCTAAGCCCAAGAAAAACAAACGAGCGGCCAGCCAGCGCTCAATATTCCCCAAAATACAACATGGCTCCTTGATCCCTCATCATTCTCCCTTCTTTCACTGCCTCATTTCAGATAGTGTTGGACTTTATCTGAATCAGTGATATCCATATACACTATACATACATGTAATGTGTTTATTATGAATTAATGCTTTTGTTAATATTCTCAATTCTTTAAATGCTTTTAACAAGACCCCCCTCCCCAAAGCATGTAAAACAAATATATATGTATATGTGTCTCTTTGAATAATTCCCTACTATTTTCTTTGTAGATGAAAGTAACAAAATGCATACATTTGCATTGTTATCAGTATCAGAACATACACAGATTTATTTATGCCTGACAGTGAAATTAATTGGCACTTGGCAGTGACATGAAACCAAGCTGCTCTATTAGATGTAAAAACCCCTGTAAAATCATGGATGACTCATTGGACAAATTCATATTCTTTACCTGCAGCAATCACTAAACCTAAACAAACGAAGTGTGAAAATGCATAAATTAGACGGTGTTAAAAGGACTGTCAAATATAAACACACTTTACATTTGAACAATTACATGTCTCTAGTCTTACGCCATTATCTCATATCATCACACTATCTTTCCCATGAGCCTTTTCACATGTACCCCCTGCATACCCCCTCTCCCCTTATGGCCCCTGATGGGTCCACTTTCCTCTCACCTCCTTGCTCTCCCTCTCTCAGTCTCCAGGAGGCTCTGAGCCTTCAAGCCCAGCCCCTCTGCTCCTCCCAGGCCAAAAGCCAGCCCTCCAGGACCTCCTCCCAGGTGACTGTGCTGAGCGCAAGCACCTCCCTGCTGGCCAGGAATGGGAGCACCCAACTGGAGGGGTCCCAGGACAAGGCCTCCACCGTGGGTGCCACCAGCCTGCAGGATGACTTTGGTACTTTGGACTTCCATATTCCCATTGATTTAAGCTTATTTGCCTGTACTCCGATTCTGCTTGTATCTCTGACTGGGCACTGGGCAGCTATATCTATTTTGTTTGGCTACAATTTATGATGCTGCCTTAGTAGGGCTGCACATATTTAGAGAGAAATCGTATTGGATTTTTCTTAAGTGTTTCTTTAGTGATTATATTTGCTATCAAAAGTAGAAAGGAGTGCACATAGTACACAACTTCAGAGTTGTATGAGCTGAGTATGAGCTGGCCTAAACTACAGATACAGCAAGATGTTTTCGATTAAAAGCAGGATGCTTTGTTCTTAGCAGTTTATAATTATTTGCAGCCTTTGCCCTCTAGCAACTGAAATTGTGATTTTGATTCAGTTGTGATATACTGTGAAACCCTAAGCCAGCAATTCCTTTATAATATAGATTTATATATATATATTTGTATATGTGTTGATTTTTATGTATTTATGTTTGTTGATTTAGCTCACATCTCATGTAGAGGTATTGTGTTATGTCACTGGTTGTATGGTTCAGTTTTATGCTTTCTGTTACACTTTTATACAATCTTTTGCAGTTCTCTGCCAAGTAATGAGCACACATTTAATCAGTGTATTTTAGGTTGCTACATTATCGTCCTCGTCCCAGTACAGAGTTAGATGGAGATGGTGGCTTGAGTATTGCGCAGTGCTGTGGTATTATTCATGGTTGGTGATTTCTGTTCGGTCACTCTTTCATGCTCCACTTCTCTCTGTGTCTGTGATATTGTGTCTGTAGCCAATACTTGTCCTGACTGACAGGGCCAGAGCCTCAGCTGCTGGGACTTTCTCTTACAACATTATGTACAAGAGATTATCAATGATTGCCTTGCTGGTTTTTCCTCGTCTCTTGTGAAAATCTGTGTAAATGAATTAGTGTTTTGGAGAAGGCATAAATCTTACTGAGACTCCGCTGAGTGCCTCTGTAGTTTTCTGTCATATGATGGATTGTGATGCTCCAAATTCTGGGAAGATTTTGCTTTCCTTCAAACTAGAAGAATGGCCCACTGTAAGATCTGCCGATTTTGCTTCCATGTTTTCTTTTTGACCTTTTTGAAAACTTAAAGTATTATAACAAAGCATCTGGTGACTGTGTTATACATTACACGAAGAAAATACTCTTTTCTTTGTAATAATATTTATCAACAAAGTCTCTAAATTAAACTGTATTAGGGTTAAGCAAGTTATCTAATTTAGTAGTAATTGAATAATTGCTGAACTATACTGACTCCAAAACATTCACTTTTTATAATTTAAGAATATCTTGATTTATTCGGAAAAATAATCATCAGTTACCCAACAACTTTGGTAATGGTTTCTAGTTTTTAATCTAGTTTTAGGTCCTATATTACACAAATGGACTCTTGTGAGGTTTAAGTCATGTTAGAATGCTGTTACCTCCTCAAAAACATACCTGGAGTTGGATTTTGTTTCATTCACACGTTTGAATAATCCTGTCTGTCTACTTCTACAAAGCTCAAAATTATATGTTCCACCTTGTGATGTCGTGTAGTGGTAGTTTTTAAATTAATAGCTAACTTTTACCTTAAGTACAGCTTGGATTCCAAGTCTGAAATTATCCAAATGATTCTAGTGTAGGTGTATGGAGTTTAAAAACACCATGGAGCAATTCCTGTATTAGCACATGACATCACAAGGTGGAAAGAGTGTTTTAAGTTTGATAGAAGAATACAGCCTAAATATGCAGGGTTTTTGTGTTAATGAAAACACAACACCAGATATGTTTGTGATGAGGAAACAACATTGTTACATAGATCAGAAAATAGCTTAATATGGGCCCTAAGAAGTGATACTAGTAGATTTTTGTGGTAGTACTACTAGTACTTGTACTAGTATTGTATTGTTTTGTATTTGAAGAAGTAGAAGTAGTATTTCTTGCAGGATTCATAACATTTTAAACTACTCAAACTGCTTCCATATGCCTTTAACACCATCAAATCCTTTCTTTCTCTTAATACAATATTGAATGAAGAATGTTCCCATTGGCTTTTGGTTTGCCTTGTTGTTTTGTTTGCTCTTGCTTCTTTATCTAGTGCCAGCAACCCAGTTCTGCACAACTTTCCTGTCATTTTTCCCAACACACGTAATGGCCTTTCAGTATTAAAAACAAGAAGCCCTAAACGTCTAGAGCAATCAGGACTTCATTAGTTTTAAATGGGAATGGTGTTGCCATGGATACCTTTATTACTTTTCCTGTTTCTCTCATCAGTCGTTGTGATCCAGGTGCTAGGCGAATGACATTTTCAGCCACAAGAGGAAACACTGGGCAGTTTTATTTGAAAGCCACAGTCTGTCGAGTTAAGACAAATTTAGCTCTTGAAGTTTTTGGAGCTTGTTTTTTCTGTCTAGTCTTATTGACCGCTCTGCACTCAAAACAAGATCTGCCTGCAGTTTGAATGTGTTTTATGGAGCCAGTGATGTTACACTGAATGTTTATTTTTGATAATTTGGATAATAAAGTTAATCCATATCATAAAAGGCAACCCTACGTGACCTTGCAGATTCATCTCTATCAGTTGTTAAGTTGCTGAAATGTATTTATTTTATTGTAAGTTAAGGAAGGAATGGCTTTGAGATTTACCATATACTTGAATATTTACCAAATGTGATAAAATTATTAAAGGTGTGCTGTGCAACTTTTCTCGTGGAGGGTCCGGTACCTGCTTGTCTCCATGGACATGCTGTTGGTTTTCCTGCAATGTTCCATAGTATGACACTAAACATATCCATCTATCCATCTATTGATAAATTACAAATGTTTCTATTGTTAAAAAATACAAAAATACTTCTGTATATAGGGGTGACATCTGAATTGTAATATGGCACGGTGCTGTGAGCTGCTTGTCTTCCTCGTGATAGATAGGTTTAATCTACACTGTGGAACATTCTAAACAAAGCAAAAACATTTCCATGGAGACGAGCAAGTGGCAGACCTTACACTAAAAATGTGCACAGTACACCTTTAAATGCTTCGCATGGTTGAAAATGTTTATGTGTTAGTAGTTTTCAATTAATGACAGAGCTGTAAAAGGAACAATGGTCACTGTCAAAATAAGCTAAAGTTGTTTTCTTTGGTATGTTTTATTTACTTTTGCGTGCTTTCATTTTATAGGAAAGATCACTCCATCTTTGTATGAAGCTGGTGGCTGTGACATGTCTTTGGTCAACTTTGAACCTGCAACTAGAAGAGCATCAAATAATGTATGGTAAGTAAACCTCTTAATGTATATGGCTTTGAAAGTAATTTTGAGTAATGATTTTTATTTAATGAGTTACCAAGATTGAAAGATGATTTAATGGATTTAATGGATTTCCTAGTATTGATAAGAGAACAAATACTTACAATTGAGTACAAGAAGACAGACCATGTTTTTATAGCGTACAAGACAGGCTAATTTAACTGCTGTAATATAATAAGTAATAAGTAGTAAGTTGTAGTAGTAGTAGTAGTAGTAGCATCCAGATAAAAGTTCTTATACCATCACATAAGAAACATATATTCACACCAACACTATAAAGACATTTAGGAACTAGATTTTGCCTGTTTATTTTTCTGTTAGTGGAAATTAATCATATGATTCAATAATTTCAAATAAAAAGAAATTACTGTTCTGTTTTATGTCTTGCAGGGACACAGACTCCCACCTCTCCAGTTCTACCTCAGTTCGCTTTTATCCTCATGACCTGGTGAGTACCAAAATACACACATACTTATTTGCTTTAACTGGGATCTGTGCTATTGTGCATTTAGATTCACAGTTTTGATAGTAGATAGTGAATAAGTAGTTATATAATAATATGCAATTAGTTTGAGAAGAATTTATTTTTGCTACATTGTCTGTTTTGCCACTTTACTTCCTGCCCTTTGAATTCTTCTAATGTTTGCAATCTGGAGTCTAGAAAATCTCAAATGTGTGATTTTATTATTTGCTTCAACCTTGATAACGGTTTTGCACTGAGCCTCCAGATGGTAAAGAGTGGGAGGAGCGGGCCTTATCCGGTTAAAATGCTGGTATTAGATTCTTACACATTTTTACATTTAACTCTTCTTTACTGTCTTGTGTCAAATCAAACCTTAGGCAATTATTTACAGTTCTTAAAACACATTTCATCATAAAACAATCCAAAAAATACATTTTAAAATGAGAAATTCAGTATTGCCATTTGTTACTCATTGAAATGGCCCTTTTCTCTTGTCAATTTTCTGCTGTCTCATCACATTATGTATTATCAAAATATTTAATTGTGTTTTATTTTTAGACATCTTAATTTAGCAGGACAGTGTATTAGGAAAAGGGAGGAAGGGAAGGCGGACACAGTGTGTACAAACTGATATGTTGCAGTCACTCTGGGGGTGTTATATATGTATCTCTAATGGTGGAATGTTTAGGAGTTACCATGGGGATACAATGCATGGATTAGCAAACACAGGGAAAAAGTCTTAATATAGTCTGAACGCTAAAGAAAACATGCAAAATGAATTTAAACAGCACATTTTGATGAGCCTGTGATCAATACTACTGTTCATGGTGTGCAATCTCGCATTGGTGCACAAATCAGGTCACCTGTTGTAGTTCCGGCTAAGTCAGTTCTTTATAGTGAGATTATGCTAAAATAAAGCACAGATCAAAGTCTAATAAAGCCTCAGACAGAGAAGACCATACAGTTAGGATCACACCCCCAGGTAATTTTGATGATATCCAAATATAATTCATAGCATACTGTACATTCCACCAATCATTCACATCTATCCCACAGTACATTTTTTACCACATGTCTCCCTTTGACCCTCCCTGTGACAGATCCGTCTGAACCGCCTGTTGACCATGGACCCGGAGCTGTTGGAGCAGCAGGATGGAGACTTGAGCCCGGAGCTAAAGGACGCTCCTCTGGGACAGGGCGACGCCTCCTCCTCTGCGGCAGCGAAGGCCAGACAGTACTACAGACTGTGGCTGCTGCCGTACCTGTGGGTCGGCCTCCACTTCGATCGCCTCACTCTGCTCGCTCTGTTTGATAGGTACTGCATTCTATTGTTTAGATGGATGGATAGATGGCTAGATAAATACTTGTATGGAAATTCAGTTCAATTTTTAAAAATAATTTACTGCTCTAAAATGTATGATATTTAATAAAAAAAAATTTATATATACCAAACACAAAACTTGTTTGATGCTGCCATTTCCTTTTGGTCTTCCCTGGCTGTCAACCTTCAGTATATAGTAGCTAAAAATAACACTGTAAGGATTATCTCTGCATCTATTCATATAAAAGCTTTAATTTGGTATCATATTTTCAATGCCCTTACCAAGTTTGCCTGTTTATCTTTGCGAGAATTAAAACTTAAATTGCATATGCGACTAATTGAATGTTGATAATTGACAATGGTGAATCTCTTGTGTCTTATGTCACTACTATATCACTATACACTGTAGGATTTTTACCTGATGTGTTTATCGTCTTAAAAAAAAGTAAAAAAAAAAAATGTTAAAAAATAGTGGCTTAAATTCTAGAGAAAACTAAAATACAAAAACTAAATTACTTAACTAAACATACTACATCCCCTTCTTTGTATTGGACTCTGTTATCATTGGCTCTGTGTTGTGTTACAGGAATAGGGAGGTGTTAGAAAACATTTTGGCTGTGGTTCTGGCCGTCCTCGTGGCCTTTCTGGGCTCAGTGCTGCTCGTCAATGGCTTCTTCACCGACATCTGGGTCTTTCAGTTCTGCCTTGTCATCGCAAGCTGCCAATACTCACTGTTGAAGGTAAAATGAATAATGTATAGGGATGGGGAACGAAAAATCCTGATTTATCCTGCTTAAAACTGTGTCTGCACCTCAAAATGGCATAGAAATACTGCAAGGATTCATTCTTTAACCCATTTGAACCAGCATATTTGAATCACATAAAATTAATTGCGTTGCAAATTAAAGATACATTGCGTAACATTTTAATGGGAGCAATAACGAGAGACAAGCGGGTGGCAGACCTTCCAGCAGAAAAGTTGTGCAATGCACCATTAACTGAGCTTTGTAGATTTTTTTCTGTTTATTTAATTATTAGTTTATTTATTTATTTTATTTTATTTATTAATTAATTTATTCTTTTTATTTAGATAAGGGTTTAAATCAGGGTCCTCCAATAATTTTAAAACCAGCAATCTAAAATATGTTTCTACAAATAATAACTGCTGGTCATTTTGAGATTGCACTGGATCCAATTTATGTATTTTTTCCCTAGAGTGTTCAACCAGACTCCTCTTCACCTCGTCATGTAAGTAGTATTATCTTTTGCTTTATAGCTGTATTTATATTCACTAAACATGTTATTCACAGAGCTAGACAAAACCTCCACTTACTTCTCTTTTTATCCAGTCTTTTGGCCCTTTCAGACTATAAATGTTTCCTCTTCTCATCTTTGCTGTGTTGTGTTGTCCTGCCTCCCTTGCGTCAGTGGCCTCCTCTGAAACTGCGTCTTTTATTAATGCTGTTCCGCTCTGCTGCAGGCACAAGCTTTAAATAACCCGGGCCAGAGTCAAGACCACAGCTTTGCTCTTTGTCACTGTATCCTCATCTCTCTCTCTCTCTTCTTATCTTTTTCTGTATTTGTGTTCTTCACCTCATTTTACCTCCAAGAAAACACCATCTTTGTCTTGACATCAGTGACACCAACAGTAAATCGTGCCTGTTTAGTTTAATAGTGTGTGAACTCCCTATGGGGCGATAGCAACACAAAGACCTTTTCTCTGCAGGCGAGCTGTATATATCTTTTTTACATTAAGCACTGTATTTAATTACAGTGTATATAAAGAAAAACTAATAATTATGAATCACTTTTTTATACATAAATAATATTGTATTTTGGTCAGTACATCTTGCCGACTTTATTTGTAGCTGACGAATCAAACATAACCTTTTAAAGAATTTGAGTCGTTAAAAAGTAAAGTATATTAAAAAAAAGAATGAAACTGTTATATATTATAGGAGCCCAAATGTTTCTCCTCTCTCTGTTCATTGGACTTCATGTGTGGGGCTATATAGCTATAGAGCATACCTGATCTTGAATACCTTGTATACCTTGAAAGATATTCTTAAAGTTCCTATATTACGCAAAATTGTCTCTTGTGAGCTTTAAGCCATGTTAGAATGCAATTTCCTTATCCAAAACATAATTTAGTTGTGCTTTGTTTCATTCACACAAACTCAAAATACCTTTAGTTCAGTAGAGATTGGTAATTCCAGGGATGAAATCATCCAAATGATTCTAGTGAAGGTGTATGGAGTTTAAAAACACAGGACATCGGAAGGTGGTTTTCGTTTGAATTACGCAGCCTAAATATGCAGGGTTGGTGTATTGAACATATGTGGATAAAACAAAACACAACTCCACGTAGGTTTTAGATGAGGAATTTTATAACATAAATACAAAAAACTAGTAATATAATCCCTTTAAAGTTGCTCAATTAACTCACAACTTTTCATTTATATACTAGTAAAAATCTAATATAAAAATCTAATATATGCTATGTGCTATATATGCTCTAACCAGTCGTCCTCTCCCCTCAGGGCCATAACCGTATCATTGCGTACAGTCGGCCGGTCTACTTCTGCCTGTGCTGTGGCCTCATTTGGCTGCTGGATTATGGCAGCACCAGAACCACCTCCTCGCGCTTCACTCTGTATGGTGTGGCCCTCACCAGCTCCCTCATCCTGGGATCGGCCCGGGACCTTGTCATTGGTGCGTACATCTACCCCCCAAGGCCTGTAAGCTTAGTCTGAGATGTCTGCATTGGGACTAGCTGGCAGTTACTGGGTCAGAGCAAAAACAATGATAATTTATTCCAATATAAATTATTTGAATTAGCATTATACATTTGGCACAAGTAAAAAGCATGACTACTACTTCTATTAATAATGCCTCTGCTTCTGCTGCAACTACTGCTACTACTGCTATTACTACTGCTATTACTACTGCTATTACTGCTATTATTACTACTACTGCAACTAGTATTACTACTGCTAGTACTACTACTACCACTACTACCTAACACTACCGCTGCTATTACTGCTGCTGCTGCTTCTACTACTACTAATGCTACTACTTGTACTGTTACTACTTTTACTACTACTGCTACCGCTACTATTACTACTACCACTACTACTGCCACTACCACAACTTTATGGGAAACAGCCAACTGGGCATATTCCTATAAAAACTTGTGTCCTAGAATTCCAAACTTAACCCTGTTCCAGAAATAAACTGCAGCAGTATCACCTAAAGTCAATGAGAGGACAGCGTGTTTCTCACTGGTCCTGAGAATCACCTACAAATTTAATATTTGTAGGTGAATTATTACTTTCTTCCCTTCAGACCGGAAAACTTGGATTGAGCTGTCTGGCTGGGGACTTTTCACACATTTACTGAGCCAAAATGCATCACTATTTAATACCGTCATTTTTGGCATATGAAGCCATGGAACAAATAAAATGGTGCAGCTGTTATTTTAAGTCAACCATTGCTCTTCATGTTGGACTTCTTATAATTTGTTACCTTGTAATATATGCTAGTAAAATAGTTACATGACAAGTACATAAATATGATTAATTATGTAAAAGTCTAAATCTAGATGGTAGTAAATCTTTCTGTCTTCATGGAGACCAGACCAGACCATGTTTCTGGTCAAATCATCAATACTTCTACTATAACAACTACTACTACTGCTACTGCTACTACTAGTATGTATAAATTGATTGATGATTAATTATGTAAAAATGTAGATGTCTAAAACTGTGACCAACAAAATAAAGACCCTGAGTATAAGTTTCCTCATTGATGTCATGATGAAATGAAAAAATAAGTGTGTATAAATAAAGCTTTTGGCTCTAAAATCCCTCCCTTTTTGTGTCCACAGTTTTCACTTTGTGTTTTCCCATCATCTTCTTTGTCGGGCTGCTGCCACAGGTCAACACATTCGTCATGTATTTGTTTGAGCAGCTGGACATCCATGTGTTCGGGGGCAACGGTGAGTCACGCAACACTGAACTGCACAGTGGCATGGGCAGGACTGAACCAAGGACTTAACTGGAACTGAACTAAGTCTAAATTAATGTCTAGATCAGATCTGGATAAGGAATAAATTAGAACTTAACTAGGACCACACCAGAACTAGACCAAGGCTAAACTAAAGATTTAACCGGGACCAGAGTTAAACCTGGACTAAACCAGGACAAAACTAATTACTATATCAGGACTTAAATGGAGCCAAACAAGAACCAATCCAGGACTAAACCAGGACTAGACCAACCCTAACCCCATTAACCACTCTGATGTGGATTAACTTTGCTTAATCAGGACTAACAGGACTAAGATTTAAAAACAACTTGGACTAAACCAGAACCAGTCCAGGACTACTGAACTAAACCAGCCTTAAACTTGGACAAAACCTACAATAAACCACACTGGCTTGGACATAGTTGCTAAACCAAAACTGAAGAAGGACTTATCCATGACTTAAAGCACCTATATTACACGTTTTCTGAACTGTTGATGTGTGTGATGTTTTTTCCTCATCACAAACATATTTGAGTTTATATTTTCTTTCATTCAACACACACGTTTAACACACAAATACTGCATATTTAGTCTGAGGTCTTCTCCAAAACAGAAAATACTAACTCATTGCAAAATGTTCTGTTCCACCTTGTGATGTCATGTGGCAATACGGGAAGCCCTCCACTATGTTTTTAAACTCCATACACCTTCACTAGAATCATTTTGATAATTTCTGCCGTGGAATTTCTCATCTCTAAAGAACAAAAGGTAAACAATAACTACTACTTCACAAGGTGGAACGGAACATTTTGAGATGTAGCCAGACCAATAATAAAAGGTTACTCAAACATGTGTGAATGAAACAAAACACAATTCCAGGCATGTTTTTGATGAGGTAACAACATTATAACATGGCTTGAAGCTCACAAGAGTCAATTTGGTGTAATATAGGACCTTTAAAAAAAAGAATAATTCAGGACTAAACCACATGAACAGCATTGATCAGGCTGCATACATATTTATGTACTGTCCCCACTCAGCATACATAGTCCGCATACACACCCCATAGTGCTGATTAGCATTCTGATAGCTCATAGCGTGTCCAGTGTCTGAGTGCTGACTTTCTGTTTGTGTCTCTGCAGCCTCCACCAGCCTCCTGTCTGCTCTCTACAGCATCCTGCGCAGCGTCGTCACTGTGGCTCTGCTTTACGGCTTCTGCTATGGAGCGCTCAAGGTGAGAGCAAGGAGAGACCAGGATACTTATGGAAAGCTGTGCCAGAAAGTAGACAGATCCAAGTTTAGTCATGCCATGGAAAACTAATGTATGAGATGAGTTTAGGTGCAGCATACCAAATACTGCTTGGAGACATATATGACTAACACTGCACCAAAAATGTTCCATAGTACGCCTTTAAATGATTTCTAGTAAATTGATCTAAAACAGTTCATTCTGTGTATGTATGTAGGCATCTTCTTGTGTACAGTAATATAGACAACAGCATAGTCCAATGTGTTATCGATGCCAAAACTGTCATATTTATTTTAATGAGGTGACAACAGTTCAGTTGGTAGAGCGTTTGCCCACTGATCTGAAGTATGGCAGCTCGAATCCCGCTCTCGACCTAAACATAATTGGTAGAGCAGTCAGATCCCATGCAGACCCACAGGTTGGCCACAGTGTTACTCCAGCTCCCACAAATGAATGCTGTCATTTTGTCTTTGGGCAAGACACTTAACCTACCTTGCCCCCTGTGTCTGTGTACACTGTTTTATGAATATGTGTGTGAATGACTGAATGGTTCCTTGATGTAAAGCACTTCAAGTGCCTTGAAAGTGGAAAGGTTCTATATAAAATGTGATAAAATGTGATCATTGATGCTTGTATATTTTATATAACTTCATCCCATTTCATTTTAAAAGAACTAATTGTTTCTAATACACACACCTGTCTAAAATCCTACTTAATATTAACTTTCTTTTACATGCTATCATATTTTCTTATTGAATGCATAGGAGACATGGGAGCCTCACCACATCCCTGTGTTGTTCTCCGTTTTCTGTGGCCTCTTGGTGGCAGTGTCGTACCATTTGAGTCGACAGAGCAGTGACCCTTCTGTCCTCATGTGAGTCCACAATAATTAATATGTGTCCTCTGTCAGGTCTGACCTTTGAGGTTATTATTAGCTCCTTGCATTTACCTTTGCACTTGAGTTTGAATACTGAACTACATCATGCAGGACGCTCAAAGTCATTTCAGATTGCTGCTTTTTTTTTTATCCTAAGTCTATTTAAAGTTTTATGTTCTCCTTTGATTTGCAGATCTTTGATACAGTCCAAAATTTTACCCAGTTTAAAAGACAAGAATCCAGAAGACCCTCTGTCAGAAGTACATGACCCTTTACCGGACAAACTCAGGGCATCAGTGGTGAGTTAATATGTTCAGACCTTTTTCCAACACTTCTACATTAGAAATACTAGTCCTTTTACTCCTTTTCATTCCTTTACGTACAGGATTACAGTAGATTTTTAACTGGAAAATACAATTGCATCAATAAGCCTATTTGTTTGCATTTATCTAAAGTTCTAAAGTTCTGTAAATGCATTATGTAGCCTCTCCATTATTTTTAGTCATAATATTCTTGTATATAATAAATAATAATTTCATTTTTTTATAGTTAATCTTTTTCTCTGTTACAGAATGAGCGTCTCCAGTCAGACCTGATTGTGTGTGTGGTTATTGCTGTTCTTTACTTCGCCATTCATGTTAGCACTGTCTTCATTGCACTACAGGTACATAACTGTATTTTGTAATTGCGTTAGGGAAATAATAACTTGAATACATAACTCAGAAACTCTATACCTACAGAAATATTAACATTATTTTCCTGTCTCTCACTTTAGCCGTTCCTGAGTTATGTCTTGTACGGCCTGTTGGGGGCAGTAGGGCTCCTTACTCATTATCTTCTGCCTCAAGTCCGTAAGCAGCTGCCCTGGTACTGCTTCTCTCACCCTTTACTCAAGACCAAGGAGTATTACCAGTTTGAAGTCAGGGGTGAGTGCTGTACATCACTGTTTAAGCACTTTAATCAATTAAAAAAATTCCATATGCTACTACAACCAACATTTTCTCAAACTTTAAAGAACTTTCAAATTTCTGACAGGCAATAAAGGTTTTGATTATGAAGATACCTATAATTGAATATGCAATTTCTTAATAGTGTGCTAATTCATTTGTATATTGTTTTCTTCAACAAAAATGTTACACAAACATATTACACATTTTGAAGATATTCTACTTGAACTTGACTTGAACTGTGTAAAACTAACCCATATACATGCATGTTATCCATGTTATCCATGCCACAATTTTAGAATCACACTTCATATAATTCTCAGTCATACAGAAACATAGATAAGTTCAATTTATGCAAAGTTTATATGTAAGTTAAGTTTATACAATTTTACTCAAAATTGGGACGGATTTTGTATTTGTCAATCAGGTGAAAGCTTATTTTGCTACTCCTATATTAAAGCTGACAGTGCACTGACAGTTTTCTGCTGCAGGCACTAGACTATTCATAGTTACCACTGAACACTATTAAATATTAACACCTGGGTATTTTTCCTGTGCTCAGATGCGGCCCATGTCATGTGGTTTGAGAAACTTCACGTGTGGCTGCTGTTTGTGGAGAAGAATGTACTTTATCCTCTTGTCATTCTGAACGAGCTGAGCGGCAGCGCCAGGGAGCTCGCCAGCCCAAAGAGACTGGACACCGAGTAAGATCTGCATTCAGTTATAGTGGTTTAGACCTGGTTATAAACTTTTAAGGTTTTAAGTGAGAAGTAACATAAAGAATAACCCCAAAATACATTATAATGGATTAAGGACTGAAAAAGGACCATGCCAAGCCAAACTATGTAACAAGATGGAGTTTCACCCCTATAAATGCATGCTTTAGTCCTGCTTTTATAATTTAAACTGATAGCAACATTTGTGTAATATAGATGTACCCGATATTCCTCTTATTAGAGCTGCACATGTATAATCGCTAACAGATGTATTATACTGCTGCTGTACTTTCTGTTGCAGCACAAAAATTTCCCTATAGCAGAAGATATAATGATTATCTTAGGAAATTGCAAAGGCTGCAAGGTCTGTTTTGTACTCAGTTGTTGATGGCACTGGTCATGTCTCAAAATGTGAGAAACGTAATAATAGAAAAAATATATAAGCTCACATTGCCACACTATTGCCATTGGATATTTCTCCTACGTTGTTCAGCAATGCCTCTAAAAATCCCTTCAGTACTATAGTTCAAGACCTAAATAGACCTCCACAGTCATAGTAATCCACAGTCTATTGCCAAACATTGTTGTTTTGCAGGGTGGGTGCTCTGATGATCACTGTGGCAGGTCTGAAGTTGCTGCGTTCATGTTACAGCAGCCCCACGTATCAGTACATCACGATCCTATTTACCGTCCTCTTCTTCACCTTCGACTACAAACACCTGTCTGAAACTCTGCTGCTCGACCTCTTCCTCATGTCCATTGTTTTCAGTAAGGTAAGAACTCTGAGTATCACTACTTAGAGTTGACTTCTTAGTTTTGGGAATACTTAATACAGTCTTAAGTCTTTTAGTTTTACTTTGTTTTGCAGTAGTTTGCAATAGTTCTCTGCCAACTCCCTAATACAATATGACATGGACAAAACCTCTTGTTTGCTCTGAAAAAAAGTTGAATTTGAATAATAAAGAGAAACGTTCTCCTGTAAATTAAGGTTAAAATTACTGTTTTTGTTTTTTTGTTGCAGATGTGGGAGCTGTTTTACAAATTGCACTTTGTCTACACATACATCGCTCCGTGGCAGATCACATGGGGCTCAGCCTTTCATGCCTTTGCCCAACCTTTTGCTGTGCCTCGTATCCTTTCAGTACAATAATATAGTTTAATTTAATTTAAGTAGCACTGATTTTTGTGTTGTGGATTTAAACCCTGAAATCCCCAAACCCAATAAACATATTTAGTGTTTAGTAATGTGGCAATGTTTTTTTTATTTATTTATTTATTTATTTAATGAGACTGGGACAGTGCACAGTTTTTACATTAACCTTAACAAGAGAGATGCTTTGTACCAGGTTGTTGCACCAGTGCTAATTTCCACTTGTAGGCCCTGGGCAGGTTCATTGATTGATTGTATTTAACTGACCTTGGCTATCAACTGTTCTTCCTGGAGACCTATGTAGCATGTTTTGGGTTGGTTTTGTAAATAATTAATCAATGGAGCACCAAGTAATTGATGCTGACGAGTGTGAGCTATGCCTGAGTCACTACTATCTTGTGACTATATATTATAGCAATACAAGTCAATGTTTGCCATTTTTTACATTGATGATCGCATTGTAAAATACTGTGCTTTTATTTCAAAGGGAACTATCTCCTAAAACTAGAGATTACACTGTTATAGACTTTATAAAGGTGCACGAGAGCTTAACAGCTCAAATGTGATGATGAACTTCTACTTCTACTTTTACTTCTACATGCTTTACCTCCAAATGACGTCATGCATCACACTTGTGAAAATAAAACTTTGTGCTTTTATTTTTCCTTGATTTAATTCTTGTAGAACTTCAGTTTTTCTTATATTTTACATTTGACATTTACTGAGTGGCGCTGATGAACTTACTGACTATGCACAGTTTAACTCATGCATGTCTTTGTACATACAGTATGTGTATAATTGAAATGATTATTTGAATTTCCTTGATTCTTGTTGCCCCAGACTCTGCCATGCTGTTTGTTCAGGCTGTTGTGTCTGCCATCTTCTCCACTCCCCTCAACCCTTTTCTCGGCAGTGCCATCTTCATCACCTCCTATGTTCGCCCAGTAAAGTTCTGGGAAAGGGACTACAAGTAAGTTCAATTCAGTTGACTTTTTTTGACCGTTGGAACCCATATGTAGTTTTATTTTGCAACAATAAAACAAGTCTACCTTCTCTCCACAGTTTATGCTAAAACTGTTGTATCCAATAAAGCCTTCATGACAAAAAATAAGAAAGGATTGTATTTTTTATGACTGTATACTTTTTTTTTTGTTTACAGTACTAAGAGAGTGGATCATTCAAACACTAGACTTGCTCACCAGCTAGACAGAAATCCAGGTAAGCACTGATCAGTCTTATTTACTTTTTCATATACAGTAAAACACTGTGTTTCAAACTTAATGCAGTACAAATAAAAATAATAATACAAAGTAATATTTAGTTTTATTCATATGATTTGCTGCGTATAACAATCCTATACCTATTGTTATTTCTACTGATGAAAGCACTGCTAAGCTACTGTCACCAAGAAACTGGCACATAGATCAGTGCAGTGTAGACCCTGGTTCATCACAGACACAAATGCCATTTTCTCCTCTTTTTTCATTTTCAGGTTCTGATGACAACAATTTAAACTCTATCTTCTACGAGCACCTGACGCGATCGCTGCAGCACAGTCTGTGTGGGGACCTGCTGCTCGGTCGCTGGGGAAACTTCAGCACCGGAGACTGCTTCATTCTGGCCTCTGACTATCTCAATGCCCTGGTGCACCTCATCGAGATTGGAAACGGACTGGTGACCTTTCAACTCAGAGGCCTGGAGTTCAGAGGTGAGGCACACATGAGCTAAGTGAAATAAGTATGGGGTTTTAAGCTTTTGATTTAACAGATTTTGAAACTGAAATCAAAAGTATTGGTAACGTGTCTGTTACAGGTTTATACAAACTATTCATGGGTGATGTAAGATTTTGAGCACTTTTTCCTGATCAAAAGATAAAACATTTTGTTTTCAAATTGTTTTAAGTATGGCAAAGGCCCTAGATTGTCATCATTCTGAAATCCCTGGATAAATAAGTAAATGTTTGTTAAAGTAAATGTTTCCAATTATTACATTCAGTGTGTAATACAGTAAACTCAAGCTGTTTGGTAATCTGTCAAGGCACCACTAATTTCCCTGGTACACTGTTTGAAAATGAAGGTTCTATGGTGTAAAAACATATATAATATTTGGTCTAAATTTGTGATTATATCTGTCCAAATGATATACTTATATATTATGAAACATTAAAAAAAAAAATCCTCTGTATCTCTTCCACAGGCACATACTGTCAGCAGAGGGAGGTGGAGGCCATCACAGAGGGAGTAGAGGAGGATGAGGGCTGCTGCTGCTGTGAGCCGGGTCACCTGCCTCACTTCCTCTCGTTTAACGCGGCGTTCGGACAGCGCTGGTTGGCGTGGGAGGTCCTGGTCACAAAGTATGTCCTGGAAGGCTACAGCATTACAGACAACAGTGCTGCTTCAATGCTGCAGGTGTTTGATCTGAGGAGGATTCTCACCACCTACTATGTCAAGGTCAGTGACATATAGGGCTCTATGAGTACATTCACTATGGCAAATGAAAATATCTTGACTTGACCAGTAAAGTTTATAAGAATGCCTTCACATATATCAGATATGAGTTAAACTACAATCTTGGGTACTATTTCTCATTATCCTAACTCCAAATTACTAAGCATTGCTATTAATTGGAGTTAGACAAATTTGAAATACAACAGAAATAATTATTATTGACAAAAGGGTAAGGGTCAAATTGAACACTGGCCATTTTGACTTTTTTTTAGTAGTATGAGTATCTATTAGATATTACTACAGGAATGATGAGCTAGCCAATTCTGTGCAAACCTAAGATAACAAAATTTGTTAAAACAAAGCAAAATATAACTTCCCGAATATGATAATCTTCTTCCCACTCAGGGCATTATCTACTATGTTGTGGAGTCCCCCAAACTGGAGGAGTGGTTGGCCAATGAGACCATGAGAGACGGTCTGAGGGGCTGCACTGAGAGGAACTACGTGGATCTGGACCCAACCTTTAACCCCAACATTGACGAGGACTACGACCACAGACTGGCTGGGATCTCCCGGGACAGCTTCTGTGGGGTCTACCTGGGCTGGATCCAGTATTGCAACTCCCGAAGGACCAAGGTGCAAAAAATACTACATACGTACACTCCTTGAAGTTGAACTGGATTAGTAATTAGAGTTAGCCCATAAATAGAAAGGTGGTGACTCAGTATCAACCCAACCAGCGCATACTATCATTGTGCTCTTGAGCAAGGCGCTTTACTCTATGTATCAATGTGGTTTGTGTGTGAGATTGGTGGTAGTTGGAGAGACTGTTGGGGCAGATTGGCAATCACGACCAACTGTGGCAATGAAGTAGTATGGTCAATGAATGATTAATGCATGAAATAACAAAGCAACTCTGAGCATCTGTTGGAGTGATACATAAAACTAATGCATTAATAACTAAATAGCTCATAGCACACTAAAGCAAAATTAAATAATAATAGGTTGTACATGACATACTCAATCAGGTCTAAATTGAGATAACTGATCCAGGACTATCTCATTCATTTTAATATTTACACTGTTATATTTTCTGTGTTTTTGCCTCAGCCTCTGGAGTGTGAGAAGGACTCTGCTCTGGTCCTGCTGTGCTTCGGTCTGTGTGTCCTGGGACGGAGAGCTCTAGGAACAGCCGCTCATCACATGTCCAGGTTTTTTACTTTTAATAATACTAATTTAACCTCAAATTGATAATACATTGATAATAATTTATTTGATAAATTGCTAAAAAGAAAAAAGTTGTACAGTGCACCTTTTTAAATGGCTAAAAATCCAACTTGTGATAGCTTTTGGATAATCTCTCTGTGTCATATCTGTATACAGTCTATGATCCATGTTATGCCCATATAAGTTCCTTAGCCTTTTATCTATTAAATAAATATTTTAAAAGCCATTAGAGTAACTAACTTTTTTCTTCTCCATTGCAGTAACCTGGAGTCCTTCCTGTTTGGACTTCATGCTTTATTTAAGGGAGATTTTCGAATCTCTTCGATCAGAGATGAGTGGATCTTCGCAGACATGGAGCTGCTCCGAAAAGTGGTCGTGCCTGGAATCAGAATGTCCCTCAAACTGCACCAGGTCAGTGTGATGGACAAATGTGCTATGTATGAGTAAGTAATGGGATTTGATGGAAAAGAATCTCACTGAACATACGGCTAGAAATCTGTGAATTGAATTGAAATGTGATGGAGATTAGGAAGATATACAGTATATATTTATTACTGTCTAGAAAGTAAAGGCAAGTTGAGTGAAGTTTTGTGGTTCAGATTGTTGCCATAAATATAATTTTATTGCACAACAGTTTCTTCTTAATGAAGCCAGTGAGACATAAGTTTCATATTGCAAATGTGTATATGAGATTCATGATAATTTTATAAACAGGTTTTATTAGGGATGCTTTCACACTAGGTCCTGATTTGGTTCGTCACACTGACCTGGTTTAGTCCTTTTCTACTCTCTAGTCCAAGTTTTCTTCTGATTTAGTCCCAGTGTAGTCTCAGTTATGATGTTGTAAATTGGAAATGCTCTTTATATTCTTTTCTGGCTTGAACTTTAAACTCTGTCTTGTTCCCAGGACCATTTCACCTCTCCAGACGAGTATGAGGAGCCGGCGGTCCTGTATGAGGCCATCTCCTCTCATCAGCAGAACCTGGTGATTGCTCATGAGGGAGATCCTGCCTGGAGGAGCGCCGTGCTGTCCAACGCCCAGTCTCTGCTCGCCCTGCGCCATGTCCTTGATGAAGGAACCAATGAGTACAAGATCATCATGTTAAACAGGCGCTACCTCAGCTTCAGGGTCATCAAGGTATGGACAGAGTTACAGCATTGCATCTATAATAAAAAATGGATAAGACACTCTCCCTCTGTCCATGAGCGAGGTTGCTTAGTGGCCACTCCAGATATCGCAGCTCCCGGGAGCTCTTGCCCAGAAAGGATTCTCCCATAGAGTACAATTCATTTTTTGTGAAATCAACCTGCCCATGTTTGGCTGACAGGGCATCGACATAAAGGTCAGATTTTGTAGGGATTCTTTCGTATTTTTATAATATGAACATTAAAACATTTTTAAGTCATCAAAGTGCCTAAAAGTCTGCTTTGTAAAAGTTAGCCTAGCCCCATTCTGAGCCCGCACTAGCTCCGCTTTAGCAACTAGAGCTCTGATTGGTCAGAACTGCATCTTTCTGACGTCACACGTTTTGGAAGTAACGTGGAAGTTAAAATTTTTTTCAATGAGCACAGGCCATTGAAAATAATACGACGCCATGTTGGATTCACCATCCAGATTTTATTATAGTTCTATGGTTACAGCTCATGAAGCTATATTGGATTGTTAACAAATATGTCTGAGTAACTAAACAGCCAATTAGGGTTACAAAACCTAATGAAATTTTCAGAGGTGGTCATCTGGACAATGTTTTTGAAATCAAGACATTTCTTCTGCTATTCAGATGCCATTGTTGACACGTATTTAATGTTTTTGATCTTAAATTCTAAAATGTGTTTGTTTTTCCTAAAATATAAATTGTAAATGCTCAAAACAGATGAGAATTTTAAATCATCAAGAGGTTTAATGATCCACTTCAATAAAATTTGTCATTGCAAAAAACCTACACCTAAGTAAATTTTTTGTTAAGTAATTGCCTCTACAGAGAATCATGTCTTTGTTGTAATTGTGTCTTCTCTTTGATTGCTGCAGGTGAATAAGGAGTGTGTGCGTGGTCTCTGGGCAGGACAACAACAAGAGCTCGTCTTCCTCCGAAATAGAAACCCTGAACGAGGAAGTATCCAAAACGCCAAACAAGCTCTGAGGAACATGATCAATTCTTCCTGTGACCAACCAATCGGATACCCCATCTACGTCTCCCCTCTGACCACGTCCTACTGCAACTCTCACCCCCAGCTTGGACATATCCTGGGGGGGCCCATCAGCATCGCCAACATACGCAACTTTGTGGTCAGCACTTGGCATAGGTTAGTTGTAAGATTAGATGTGTGTTAAAAAAAACAAAACAAAACTAAAATGGTATGTTGCTTTTAAAAAAAGTCAGATTTTTATATCCCTGTTATGAAACAAATATTTATCTCTTGATGCTAAATATTATCCATTTGTGAAGCCCAGTGAGTTTTTGAAATAGGGAAAAAGTTTTATACTTACAGATATGAACAGGACCTAGACCTGCCCTGGCCAAAGACCAATAGCCTTTTGGTGTCTCCCCCGAGTAACCTGTCCAAGTATCCCCTCTCATCTCAGAGCATCGGAGTGTTTGTATCAGAATTACAAGGCTACATACCTATCAAAGCAGAGTGGTTTCACATACTAAAGATAATGAACTTTTACACTTGAAGACAACAGAGGGTGAAGACAGTTGTGTCTGCAGAAATCTACACATGTTAATGACTGGTCTAGTTCTCAGGAAGAAATCACATTAATTTACACAAAGACAGACTGAGAGAAATGTTTTCTTCACATTAAACATTTCCCTTACAGTCTCAATAAAAAAAAAAAAAAAATTACACACTTTTTGCATAAGGTACATGAGCATATTTTTAACCCCTCACCCCTTTTCCCCTCATCAGGTTACGTAAGGGCTGTGGTGCTGGCTGTAACAGTGGGGGGAACATAGAGGACTCAGATGCAGGGGGCTTGTCCAGTGGGAACGGGACAGCAGGAGACTCTCAGCAGAGCTCAGTGTCTCACAGTGGGATGTCTGGACCCTCACTGCCGCTCAGCTACCCTCCACATCCTCTGGGTAAGATACAAGGCTCCTTTATGCCCAATGTATTAGGGTTTGTTTTATGTTCAAACCCCAGAGGATGAAAATGCAGTTTGAGATTTATGAAAAAATGAAAATAATGCTGACTGACGGAGGAAAAACAATACGGTTTATTATTAGTACATTGTAAGGAGAAGGAGGTCTGTATCGATCATTGAAAGCTGAGTATTCTGTATTCTGCTAACTCTAGCCCTTAAGGTTAAGATCGTTTCCAGGTTTTGCAAAAAGCGCCAATGAGTTTTGCTTAACACTATAAGACCAAACAATGATTTCTGTGTACATTTTAATGCATTTTTTTTTTTTTTTTTTTGCCAGAGGATAATGTCTAAAGGCATCTTTCTTCAAAATTACAAACTGTTTTATTCCTGTGCTATTAAATAATGATTCTGTCTCTTTCTACATAGTGCATTAGTGTATTTACAGTACAGATAACAGTAATCAATTGGTATTCTAGTAATTGATCAGTTACAATAATCTGATTCATTGGAGTTGTAATAATTTCTCTCTGTTTCCAGGCACTAGTCAGAGTGCCCAGTCTGTACAGTCCAGTCTGGTGCGTCACTCTCCGGCCAGAGCCTCCATGGCCTCTCAGTCTTCGTCTTATCGCTATAGCAGCAGCAGACACTCCTCTCTGCGCACCTCCACCACCGGCCTGGAGCCCTGCCGACGCTCCTCCACCAGCCAGTTGTCCCTGCGTGCTCTGCCCACCACCCTGCACCTCCGCCTGGGCTCCACCTCTGATCCCTCTGGCCCCTCCGCCTCCCTCTCCAGCCACAGCATCCCTCCCTGTAAAAGGACCACGCTGGTGGGGCTCTTGGGCAATGACAGTCTGTGCAGTGCAGTTACAGACCCTTTGAGCCATCATCATCACCATCATCATCATCACCCACAGCAACACAACCCGACTGTGGCCACTGTGCGCAGGGATGACATCTCATATAGAGTACAGGTGGGCATCATAGACCACCTGTAAAACATTGTTTGATCCCTTTAGTCTGTTTTATGCTTAATATTTCAACATCATTAACTACAATGCTCTGTGACAATCTGTTATAGGGCTGTTTTCTTATAAAGTTTTGAACATCCCTTTTTACAATTGGATTCACATAATTTTTTTTGTATTTTGAACTATGCACAATATATACCTGAGACTGTATTAACAGACAGTAATGAAATATGATATTTAGACACAACTCAAAAAAGGCATATAAATGCATCAATCCACCATCAAAGTCTATTCACAATGCTAACATTTAAATTAAAGTTATTGTTATTTGTAAATTATCAGAAAAATATTTCACAGTGCATTTTGTTGCCATCAGATTGTGGATGTGAGTCAGGTGCTGGAGAATATTCACCTGTCTAAAAGGAAGGAGTTGCAGTGGCCGGACGAAACCATGAGACTGAGAGCAGGACGGACCTGCTGGAGGGACTGGAGCCCCCTAGAGGGCATGGAAGGACATGTACGTACAAAAAAAAAGTATTACTAATCTCACCAAAATATTGATTGCATTAATGGAGCTTTATAATAGGAATAATATTATATATAATTAGGGGTGTCAAATTATCGCGTTAATTGCGATTAATTAATTACAGTCATATTTAGCGCGTTATGTTTTTTAATCGCGTTAATCTCATTTTTAATCTGTAACTTTACTGTTTCTGTATGTGAGTTGCTTTATTATAAAATCTGTTTTTATGTGTTGCTGGGACAACAACACACACACACAAAAACACATTTATAAATTTTTTTATTTCGGTAATTCCACTCATTGCCGGAAACCCACACAAAACGCGCGCAGTAAGAGCGATGTAAACGTCATGTTAACGTTGGCGGCGTCAGGCACAATGGACGAGGTCGAAGAGCCAGTAGAACAGAAGCAGCATCGCACAGGTAAAAACACATTCGTGTCTTGGAAATTATTCTCCCGACGTAAAATATAAAAGAAAATAACAAATATAATATCGCCTACAACTTAAATGTCACTGGTGAAAACAACCTGCATAGACTCATGATGTCTGCACTACTGTCCTATAGTGACCTGCCACATGAGGGGACACGCACACAAAAACACACAAACACAAACACACACCTTCATCATCGTCATCAACCTGAGAACGCGCGGACCACGTTTCTTTCCGTAGTTACTGCGCGGACACCGACGTGCTCCCGTGAGCCGCGTGTGGATCGTGTTTTCTCGCGTACGCTGCGTAAACCACGCTTCCTCCTGTGCGCCTCTAATCCAGAACTAACACCAAGACTAAAACCAGGACTAACCCAGTCCAGGACTAAACCAGGACTAAACCAGAACTAAAACCGGAACTAAAACCGGAACTAAAAACAGGTCTAAACCAGGTCTAAACCAGGTCTAAACCAGGACTAAACCAGGACTAAACCAGGACTAAACCAGGACTAAACCAGGACTAAACCAGAACTAAAACCAGAACTAAAAACCAGGACTAAACCAGACTAAACCAGAACTAAACCAGAACTAAAACCAGAACTAAAACCAGGACTAAACCAGGACTAAACCAGGACTAAACCAGGACTAAACCAGGACTAAACCAGAACTAAAACCAGAACTAAAACCAGAACTAAAACCAGAACTAAAACCAGGTCTAAAACCAGGTCTAAACCAGGACTAACACCAGGACTAACACCAGGACTAACACCAGGACTAAAACCAGGATTAATCCATTCCAGGACTAAACTAAGACTAAAGTAGGACTAAAGCAGGTCTAAACCAGGACTAAAACAAGGACTAAAACCAGTGATCTCATATATAAAGCATTTCTCTATCAATAATATTTTTAATATGGTTAAGGAAAGACTGGACTTTTTATTGTCTTTAAGTAGACAAAAGTTATCATGTTCAGATTTCCTCGTCTTTGCTACTTTACAGCGAACAGTTTTTTATTCATGGAGACTTGGGCTCAACAGTCAATTTGGAGACATTTGTTAAACAATAAATGACTTTATAAAGTCACTTTTTTTGTTCTATATCAGTCTTTTGATCTGCCACAATAATGTAATAATGAATTTAAATGAAAATACCTCAAATTGAAGCATTTCTCAGCAATTTTTAGATGAGATTAAAATGAGATTAATTAGATTAATTAATTACAGATCATAATTTATTAATCTCTCAATTTTTTTAATCGCATGACAGCACTATATATAATATAAATGATGATCATGACCTCATAAAGTTGTTTCCTTGTCTAAAACATACAGTTTGGGCTGGGAAATTTGGCAGCAAATTAATAACTTTTTTTAGGTCACAAATGCTAATCACTCTATGTGGAGTTGTTTATTTTATTCAAGTCTTATATCTGTTAGATTTTATTATAAATAGAATAAATAGATTACAGCTGTTTAAACTTTCCATTTACTTTTGATTTCACCTGTTTTTGACAAAGCCTCTCTATCTCTTTTAGGTGATTCACCGGTGGGTGCCTTGTAGCCGTGACCCAGCTAACCGCTCCCATATCGACAAGACCATCCTGCTGGTTCAGGTGGATGATAAGCTAGTGCCCATTATAGAGACTGGGGTCATTGAACTGGGGGCAGAGGTTTGAGGCGAGCACATTTCTGCAGGTTTTCGGACCGGGACTTCCCCCCTCTCCCAGGTCCTGATCGCTGAGGGGGACAGGAGCCAGGGAACCGTGCAAAAACAGAGGCAGTACCATTCATTTACCCAGCATCCTTCAGTGCGTCCATCACACTATCTGCCTTGCTTTGCATCCAAATGCTGCATGACAGTCAACAGCTCTAAATTTATTGATGCTACTGGTTTAGTTCTATGCATTTTTATTCATTGATTATTTTTGATTGGCAAATAGGTTGTGTTCTTGTGATGTCACTACAAAACTAAGAAGGAGGGCAGGCATTTTTTTCAGGACATTTGTTTTAATGGCAGTTTCAATGTTCTATTTCTGTTTTTCAGTTTTGGACTTAAATAAGATGTGAACAAGCTAAAATTATGTGGTTGAATCTACTGCAAATGAGTCAGTATTTTTGATAATGTTCATGGCTAATATTTCAACAATTACAGGGCCTTATCAACAGAAATAAAACAGTCACAAAGTTTAGGGTTAGGGCACAAATTAAGTAAGGTTATATATATATATATATATATATATATATATATATATATATATATATATATATATATATATATATATATATATATATATAAATCAGGTCTTCCTTTTAAAATATTTGTGTATCAGTTTCTGCCCTCCTGCAATTATTAAAAAAGAAAAACCTACAAATGTAACCACAACCTATTTGTCAAAAATTTGCTGAGAATGTGTGTTGGTTTTCTTGTTTGTTTGTCCTTAGAAGTATTTTGCCAAAAAGCCTTTTTTTTTTTGTTTCTTTGTTTTTTGTTTTTTTTGTATTTGACAGTATTTTTTTTATGTTTAAGCTTATTTTTGTTTTGCCAAGACAGAGACGTGAAGAGGTCCCATTGGGGTCTGAGACTTTACTGAACTGTGGCCAACCTTGTGTTTTTTGTTGTCATTCCCTTTGGATTAATTGAGATTTATTTTGCGCAAAAAGAACTTGCACTATGTATTTTTTTTTCCTTTTATTTACAGTGATGCACTACAATCTTTAATAATATCACGTTTATTTATTTCGTAGACTCTGAATGGCCATGGTTAACGATGCCTTGGGAATGAAAAATGCAATCATCTGTCTGTTTTCAGTTTTGTTATGTTTGATAAACTTGAAAATAACTTTTTACTGTATGTCTATATCTATATATATATTCAAAAATATATATATAATGTCAATGTATAAAAGATTTGTTTTGGATATTTATTACTGTGAAAATAGTATTTACACTTTGTTACATCTTTTTTCATTTTATGACAAAGGTTAATGTATTACGGACCATAGGTTGAAAACAACTTTTTGAAGGACTGTTTGACTATTTAACTTAATTCTTTTCTATAAGGAATAAAAGTTTGATTTATTGCTTACAACTTTGGGTTCTCTCCTTCAGTTTTTGTGTCATATTTAGTTTTTAATATAAGCCATATACATTCATTTTTCTTTTGCATTGGGAAACACATGATTTTTATTTGCTGGGTCTAGTCTGCACACAAATTTAAAAACAAATGTATTCGTTGACATATTCTTGATATTCTTAATTTTACCTGAGTCACAATTACCCCTATACAAAAGACAATATTTAAACAAACCTGTGATTTGCAGGTGATCTTTTTACAACTTGAAGGGATTGATAAGGTAAAGTAGGGCAAAAAATGCAGACTGGCAACTTGTCTCGTGAACATTTTAGTAGTGACACGGGTTTATAAATTGTGCTGTAAACACAAATATTTTACTAGATGCGATTTATGGATCATTATTATGAACAAAACGAACCAATGTATCAAAATGTAAATGATACATCTGCTGTTGGAAAAAAAAAAAAGAAGAAGAAAGAAAAAACGAAAACATGTGATTGTTTACGGTGAGGTCCCGCCCACCGCGTTTTCTGATTGGCTGATACCGGGGTATTCCAGTGATCGCTGTCCTGTCGGATATAAATTTCCATATGAAGAGGTTCTCGTACATTTCTCCCAGAATCTACCTGGTCAACTCTTCATAAACAGGTAAAAATTGGTAATTGATACTTTATAATCAACCCTTGAAACAGGCATTCCTTCATGGAAAAAGTTATGTTTAAATATTTTGCAATTTAGTCTTTTAAGAGTTGTTGTGCTAACGTTAGCTTCCGAGATATCATCGTCATGTGACCAAACTGCAGTCAGGTGGCGTCTTTGGGTTGTTTTGTTGGGAGCCGTCGCTGTCTTTTTGTCCCTTTATTACTCAGTCTCACTAAATAGAGGTTAATCTGTATGGCCAGGGCGCTTGACCAATAGTAATCCGTTGTTTTATCCATAAAGGACATTCGAAAGGGAGAGGAGATGTTGAAATCGATCTTCTTCGCCCTGCTCGGTCTGGGGCTGGTCTGTGCCTTCCCTGCCCCAGAAGAGGAGGAGGTAGATGGGGGCAAACACTGGGTGGTGATCGTAGCAGGCTCCAATGGCTGGTACAACTACAGACATCAGGTAACTAAACAGCAGAATATGGGAAGTAACTTTTGCTTCTGACAAATCTAGGGTGACCAGACGTCCCCATGTACCCTGGACAGTCCCAGTTTTGAGCCCTATGTCCCCTGTCGCAGCAGATTTATCCAAATGAAATCTCTCACGTGTCCCTATTTTTGCCCAACTTGACACCTGCCACAACAGTAAAGAGAGGCAAACCTTGTCATTTAGTCAGGTAAAATATAGAAAAGTGGCTTAAAAATGACCAAAACACAAAGAAAATGTGACTATACTGACACTTTATTCATGAATGGGCTGAGTGCAGAACAGTTTTCCTTAATGACGCCCCTCTTTCACAATTTTATTATTATCATTCACCCCAAACCGGGGGTGTCCCAGTTTTTTATTTTGAAAATCTGGTAACCCTAGACAAATCAGCTATAGGCTAATAAGGTTGCATCCTTCATCTCATACTGTGGTTATAACAAACTGAATGAATGAACGTAACAAAATCTGAATTGGCACAGAGAGGATTGGTTGTGTCGTGATTAAAAAGACCCAGATGTATCATTAACAATTAGAAGTGACTGAAACTGACCATCATTAAAATTCCATTAATTGAACAGGTGTACTTTCTTAATAATCATTATTATATCTGTATTTTCTTCTTATAGGCTGATGTGTGCCACGCTTACCAGATTGTCCACAAGAATGGTATCCCAGACGAAAACATTATAGTTATGATGTATGATGACTTGGCACATAATGAAGCGTGAGTCTCACTGGTTATTTTCATCTCATTCTGTCTTTTACAACATTAATTACATGGTTGTAAAGCAGGATCTTGGGTATCAGAACTATTTTAGGGCTTGATTGCAAACTTTTAGAATCCTTATACTTAGCTAACAGTTAATTCCTCCTAGTTCACATAAAAATATTTCATTTGTACTAAATATAACATTAAATTCCATAGTATTTATTTTTATCTTAACAAACCTAAACAAAAGTGACATTTTCTCATTTGAGATTTTTTACATAGGTTTGTTTAATATATTGACAAAAAAATACATATTTACAGGTAGTGCATAACTATGACCTAACTACGTATAAAAACTTGGCATTCATTTTAGGAAAAGTGATGATCTCTAAAGTGCACAACATCCAGGGCAAAGCAAACAGGATATGGACCTTTTCTCATTTATAAGAAACAGTTCTAAAACTGAATCTAGATAGAAAAGTGCCATTGCCAAATGCTGCTTTATACATGTGGTTGGTTTTGTTTATTTTGTTAATGATAATTAAAATCAACAAACAAATTAATAGTGATTGTAAACCAGTAACTCTGAGTCCTGAATGCTCCACTTCTATGCCTATAGCATTCCAAAGCTTATGTCTCATGTTGCCGTGGTATGTCTCTGTGTGAAGAGCAGCCATGGCTGAATTTAGGTCCAAGAGTCACAAGAAACTCATTTAACTGCTCCACTTTGTATCAGCAGAAATATTAGAGACAGGCCAGTGCGTACACAAGTAAAAGAGAAAGTACATCCTGAAACAGGTCATTGTAAAAAAAACAAGGTAATTTGAATAAGACTGTTGCCTGCACAATAGTCAGAGGCTCTATGTGGGTGACTTCTCATTTTACCATGGCTTGTTTTATATCTTTCACTGTGAAAGAGTGAGTACTAGTATACCTAATGTAATTAGGTATATGAACTTAAGCACATTATTACGTGATAATTGACAAAGGCTTAAAATATGGCATACAGTAAGAGACTAGGGATATTTGATTGTGAGACTTGCATATTGCATATTTTTTCATGGCCGATTACATTCAAAAGGGACATCAAAGATGTACAGTTTTTCTAAAGTGAGTTCAAGTTCATATTCCGTCATAATCAGGTATCATCATCCATAAATCAAATATGTATTGTTCTGACTTAAAGACGATGTCATTGCTACAGCTAACAGTTTTCTTTGGTCAATCATTGACCTGTAATTAAACTTTAGAGTGAAACAATAACTAACCTGATTCATACGCTTTATCTGATAATGTATGTCACTTGATACAGTTTCCTCACTGACTTAACCACTGGGTTTGGCCATTAGTATTATACTCAAACATACTCTCATTGCTTTATAAACTCTTAGTTTAGTTTATGTTTTTTATAATGTCTTCCATATTGGAGTATTTCTCAGTTTTTGGTTCAAATGGGATCATTACACTCATGAGTGCCAAATGCTATACCCTGATACTCCTAACAATAAAATTATTTATTGTGGCAAGCTTAATTAGCAAATGAAACAAGTGAGTCATTGTGGCTCATTGACTAAATTGGCTAAATTTTGTAACCAATGTTGGTCAATTTGGGTAAAAACATGCCACTTTTTCTTTGTTTTCAAATGAAATCTGCTATTTTTCTATCTCAGCTTTTCACACTTCCTCCTCTGGATCTGACTCTGCTGTTTTTATGCAGTAACCCTACCCCAGGGGAAATCATCAACAGGCCCAATGGCACAGATGTCTACAAGGGAGTGCCCAAAGACTACACTGGAGAGGTAATAAAGTAATACTTTAGTAACCAGAATTAACAGTAGAGATTTTTGTATATAAAGTTAGTGGAGTTAACATAGATTTATTTGTCTGCAGGCTGTGACACCTCAGAACTTCCTGGCCGTATTAAAGGGTGACTCTGCAAGTGTCAAAGGAGGATCTGGAAAAGTATTGAAGAGGCAAGTCACACAATAATTTATTTAAACATGGAAATTGGGATATGACCCTCCAATTAGACTTTAAATGAGTTAATTGTCCTTTTTGAGTACAGTTGAACTTTATTGTGTTGCCTAATGCACAATAAAATGCAGTAGTAATAGTGTATATGTAATTATAATCAGGATCATTTGAGATGCACATAACATTAGTGTCCTTTAGTAAAAAACCCTCCTCTTTGTCTATTGAAAATAATCTGTTAGGTTTCAGATGAATTGTCTTTTTTTTTTGGTTTAACAGTGTAATTATTGCCCCTTTCCAACTGAAGAAAAGAAAAAGTACTGGTTGAATTTTACCAGGAAATCTTCTTATGAATGACATTTGCTCTATTCTCCAACCCTCATATCACTATTGTCATGTAGCCTCTTGAGAAACTCTCAATTCTTTTAAACTGGTGTCATGTCCTAACATTGCACTCTTATTACAGTGGCCCCAACGACCATGTGTTCATTTACTTCACTGATCACGGCGCTCCTGGCATCCTGGCCTTTCCCAGTGACGATGTAAGCAGTTAATTTACCCACAATGCACCACCACCATTTATAAATGTCAAAAAGTATGAATGTTGTTGTACTGGTTTAGTCATGTGATTGGAGTCTAAAGGGGAAAGTACCTGTGTTTGTAATATAAAACCCTAGTCAGACTGGTTATAATAACAACGTACTAGAACAGGGTTTTCCAATCTGTGGCATGCGAGCTAGTTCAGGTGGTACTTTGACATCTCTTTAGTATGTGGGTTTTCCTAATTTAGAGTTAATTTTTTGTCCTTCTTTCAATAAATTCTTGTTTAGAACTACAGTAGATATAATGTAGTCCACTTTTATTTCTGGTTCAGCCCTATAGTAGACCTGGAATATATTCTTGCTTTTGATCTAGGGGTGATAGAACTACAAGGCTACCGGATAAGGAATTCAAATTAGAAGACTTTTTTTTTTTTTTTACTTTTTAACAAGATAACTGGGTGGACAAGGTTGGCATTGTCTTAACTCTTACATATGATAAATAAACAATACAACTGTATATTAAGATAAGTAAAGTCGCTCTCTCTTTTCCAATCCAAAAACTTGCATATATTAGTTAAATTGGTGATTAAAAAGGTGATTTATTTTAATGAACTAAGCTCTTTTAGTAGATGGTTGTCTTTGTTGGCTACTGTCTTTGAAACTTCAAGTCTGTTCAAGTCTGTGCTGATGGCACCTGTAAACCATGGATATAAACATGAAATCCACCATGTTTGAGTTGTGGTTCTAATAAAGATATAGGAACACTCCAAAATGCTTTTAAAATCATCATCATTATATCTGTGTTCTCAAATTATGTAAAATGTTCAGCTTACAGTGGAGGACCTCCAAGCAGCCATCAAGTACATGCATGACAACAAGATGTACAGAAAGGTGAAGTCTTGTGATTACTACACAAGTCTTAACAAGTCTCTGTGATTAATTTACCCAGAATGATGTTTTCGTAGATGGTATTGTACATTGAAGCCTGTGAGTCTGGATCAATGATGACAAACCTACCCGAGGATATCGACGGTACGTAACAGTTACAAAGTCATTTTCGGTGAAATTTAGTAAAACAAATCATGTGAAGTCTGCGTCAGTGAATCGTTAAATTGACAGTAAATTTTACATTGAGTCATTGTTTCCAGTCAGGGGATGTTGATACTTCTTCAATTACTTTAAATACGCACTATGGTTAATATTTTTGTCTCTGTAAATTCTGAACAATTTAAACATGCACAGTGAGATTAACCACAAAGAACTCCAGAAAATTTTTAGGTTTTAACTGTGCAATACGTCACTTATCTGGTGGAGGGTACACCAGCTGCCAGTCAGATGTTATTGCTTTTCCTCAAATGCTCCAAAGTAAGGCATTGAACTTCTCCATTTTCACAGAGATGAGCAATTAGCCCCACCAGGCATAGTTACATTTCAGATCTGTGAAGAGATGACCCCACTCACAATAAGCATGATTTATTTTTTTTTTTTTTTTTTTTTTTTTTTTTGAGCTACACATGTAATCGAATAAATTAATAGGTCAAAAACCAAAAACATTTTCATCGAGACTAGCAGATGGCATACTACCCCACCAGAAAATGACAGAAGTGTATCTTTAATTAGGTTTCAAACAAACTGAATGTCTCCAGTACAAAAAGCCTAAGTTTAAAGTGCTGTCAAAGCATTGTTCCTAGACAAGATGTGACTATCACTTATTGACTTCTTTTATCAGTTTCCTGTCTCATGTGATTTTTGCATGAACAGCCATTTTAACTTTTTTTTTTTTGCTCTCGTGCCTACCCACTGAAGCAGCAGATTGATTGTGAACTTTACCTCAAAGTTTCACATTCGTGTTTGAGTCAGGATTGAGGCTAGTGTCTTGTGGCAGATCACTGTCATGTGCTGCTCCTCATGTGATGTTACAACCACACTGGAAATGGGTTCATTATCTATAGATGGAGAGAGAGGTTTACACTGTTGATAAACCTGGCATTGAACAAAACAGGTAAAAAAAAAAAGGTTATGAAAATATATTTTATAATTATTAATACTTTCATTTTTAATATGGTCAGATAATATGCAGAATTAGCTGTATGGCTTAGGACGTCTGGACCCAAAATCTGATTTGATTGCTAAGTTTAAACTTTTTATCCTAAAATCCACAAAAGAAGGCTGTACGTATTTGATAGAAAATATTTAAATTGGTGTGTTTCTGATTTGTACAATTTGCGCATGAAATCTGCTCTTATAATTGTTAAAATATAATTTTCTGTTGTTCTTTTCATTCTCTGTACAGTGTATGCAACCACTGCAGCCAATGACCACGAGTCGTCCTATGCCTGTTACTATGACGAGAAAAGGGACACATATCTGGGCGACTGGTACAGCGTCATCTGGATGGAGGACTCTGACATGGTGAGTCAACTATACATCTGGTCTCCTTTGAATGGGGGAAACCTGAACATGCCTCAGATGTGCTTATGATAGTCATGTTATAGAAACATATGAAGTTTTTAATTAGCATTACAATGTATGAGTCTTTTTCTCTTGACTTTGTACAATTTATGTAAACAGAATCATATAGTATATATTCCAATGTACAAAAAAAACCCTGAAAACAGCCCCTCTACTAAAAATACATACTTAGATTTTACATTTGAGTACAAATGAAGCTTATATTAGTCAGTAAGAAATGGTCTATTCTATCTCCCAAAGTAATTACTTTTCTATTACATTTATAGTTTTATGCTTTACTTTGTACATTGAGTTTTTACATAAGTATGTATGTTCTGTATATTAATAAAACATGTAATGAAATTTGCTCATCTATATATTTATTTATCTTTTAATTTTTTAGGAAGACTTGACCAAAGAGACATTGCAGAAGCAGTTCAAAATTGTGAAGAGCCGCACAAACACCAGCCATGTCCAGCAGTATGGCAACAAGGTAATATATATTTTTAAAGCTTACTTAAACTTATTATTATATTACTAAAC